CTGACTACGGCGGTCCTCGAAGAAACCCGCGACCGTTACTTACATACAGCTTCGATTGTAGCTTTATAGGAGAAAAGGTTACATAATCATCAAAAATGACGCTTACGTTTCGATTAATTAATCGTTTAAATTAATTGAGCGGTTATTGATAAATGATTACCGTCTGCCTCGAATCTCCGGTCTGTTGGCAACTGTCCAACTTGACGACAGAGGTCGCAAGCTGAATCGTTTACTGGGAAGATGGGAAGGCGATGAAAAAGAGTGGATCGGTTATACTAAAAACTGAACACTATGTGCCCAGTCAATTTAAGAAATGTGCCCAAAACACCGTTGATTTTCACCGTAAATCATTAGAGGGAGACTTTTGAAAAAAAATGTTTGCCGGGTTCAGAGATAAGGATTGTGTCGGATTGCCGGATTTGTAGTTGAGGCTATTCAACTTAAGCAATTCAATTAAGCAGTTCAACTGCAATTCACAATAATTCAGCTTAAGCAACAAAAATGACGAATGCAGCCGCAGCTGGAAGAATATTCTTGTATCAGGAGACGAGGTGTACTTATACCCAACCCACCGGACCAGAAAAGGATACGACATTGTGCAGAGATATCTGGGGTTTTAACAAAAACGCATTACATGTGCAGTTTGCGGATTTCACTGTGGCTCCCGGCGAAATCGTGGAGAAAGGCATAAGGTTCTATTGAGCAATTTTTTCGTTGTATGAGCGAAGGCCATCAAGAAACTTCTATTCCGATAGCCGAAGGTTTCACCAATACAACCGCTGAAATGCCATTTATCAGACCAAAGCCCTAAAAAGCTCCTTACAACTTATGGCAAGCACAGGACTCATGGTCAATCTTCCAAAGAAAGGGAGAACGTACCGTTTACGGGCAAGTTCACGGGAAAGCGGTCAAGGGCGACAAAAGAGTCATATTTTTCAGTATACAGATTGAGAACATAATTACATGGAATCTTTTGCTCAAGAAGGACCGGCCCGATAGCATTGTCCTCTCCCGGAAAACCTTGATCCAGAACAAAGCAGGTCTTAAATGGATGCCGTTGGTCTGCGCTATCTACATTAGTTCTTGTAACGCTTCTTGCGGGTATCACACTTTCTTGCAGAAGCGAGCAATTACGCACAGGTGCAGTTTCGCTGCTTCGGCTACGATGTTGCAGTTGGCATAGAAAGGAAAACTCCGACAATTTTATTGAACGGTCCGGCAGAGCGCGTTTGCCCAATCAAAGTTACAATCTCTGGTGTTTGCTGGCATACGAGTATAGTTCAGAGAACCGAAGACTATAGGGAACATACATCACCCCAGTTTTAAGTACTGTATTTTACCACCATTTAGTTGTATTAGGTGCTCAGGATCGATAGATGCGTGTTTGGAGCGTTTGGAGAAAACTAATGCTAGGCTGAGATGCTTTACTGCCGGATTGCGACATCAGATGTTCAGGGTTCTACTATTTACCAGAAATCGAAATCTCGTGTGCGTAATAAGGATTAGCGTTGGGGGGTGAGTTGCTAAGTGAAAAGGCGTTCGACTAACTATTCTTCCGTCGGGAAGGTTGTCGGTTACAACCGTTCGTCTCTCCATAACACAGCTGGCAAAACATCCGCCCCCAATATTTTGTCCGGCAAAACCGCCCGCCCAAAAAAAGGGTTATAAAATTTACCGCGGCTTTTTTTACCATCGCACGGGTTAGCCGGCTTACAGGCAAAAGCGTTCGGCGGACGATCATGCGTCCGAACGGTTTTGCGGGTTACATGCATTTACACTGCGTTGCTGCCTAGTGCCTACCATTTAATTTCGTAACAAAAACTCTGCTCCGTACAACAACTATTTATCATTAGTTTTTAAGCAAGTTTCAAGAAATACTAACAATTTAAGAATTTCAGTTGAGGTGATAATGAAATTGCATAGTTAAAAATAAAATTTTCCATACATTCCGACGTGTCTCGAGCGACTGGGACGGTGCAATCGCAATTTTGAATAACGGCTGGCGTTGAAATGCATTACCAACTAAATCTGGGGTTGCGGAAAGCATAGACCTCTCGCCTTCCGGTGTGTCAGTTTTCGGAGCAATACATCTTGGGAATACGCATACGCTCTTCAAAAGCAAAGAAGAGATGCATTTGCACTATAACTTACTGCCGAATCTGGGAGAAAGTAGAAAGAGTAAAAAAAGCATCACTGTATTCGATTTTTTTCCAGTTATACAGAGTACAGCACTACTAAAGCAAGTGGCTGCTCGGCTCAACAAACGTTTGCCTCACAATAAGCTCGTACAACGGGTACAACGGGAGTAAAACTTTTGTGAGAAGGGCTTCTCTAGAAGCGTGTTTCAGTGATTCAGACCTTTTGCTTGTAACGTGCGGCTGTTAGTGCACAGAACAGCTCCGGATTTCATCCCAAGTACAGACTGTATACTGCTAATGCTAATGCCTAATATCACGGTCCAGTCAAACCTGAAGTGACCTCAAAGTGTTAAGCAGGTAATCAATGTCTGCAGCTGTGCAAAGCAAAATAAAAGTTCAAATGCCCGCAGCATCACTAAAAATCGGATTAGTTTCTCTGCTGTCTTGCATACATCCGGCTCGTAATAACTATTATTACTAGCGCACACATCGTTTTAATAACAGGATGGATCTCAAGAAGCTTATACCAAAAGATACAAACGAAGAAAACCTGCGGACGATCCTCATAAAACCCGCCATCTCCTACGAAAACTCAATCCATCACACGAACTACCAGCAAGCCTGGCAGAGCTCGAGCAAGGGCACGCTTCCTGCGAGCGTGTCGGATACTGAACGAGCAACAAAATGAACACAACCGCGATCCGCAAGCGTGGGGCGAGATAGCTTCTGGATGAAAATGGTGATGATAGAAATCGAGTAAAAAAAGCTGGGATGTTTTTGTTTCTTGTATTTTTTGCATATTCGTTTGTAACAAACGAATATGCAAAAAATACAAGAAACAAGAACATCCCAGCTTTTTTTAGCTTACTTGCAGTCGAGGAGATGTAACCATGTAGTGAGTACAACACAGGGTATGAAAAAAAAATCGCGTGGTTATATTAATGGAAATAACTCTCATTCTCAGTCATTCTCCAGCAATATTCTGCTGCAAATCAAAGCGTACACTGCTTGTATAACGTTAAACTTATGGTTAGCGTTAAAACATAATTAAAAGCAGAAAATATTGATTCGGAAGGGCAAAAACAGAACATGTGGCAAAAGAGCACTGCGAAAAACTTCTTAAACTGAAAAGGTAAGTAATACGCCATACGGCTAGCAAGTGGGGTAAATCCCAATGCACCTGCGACCTTATTCATCGCGCAGGTGAATAAAATTATTTGACTGCAGTTGCTTAGTGACACTTTCCTGTCAAGTACTTTACCGCTCCCGGAACCGCATTCGGCTTGCATTCGCACAATACTCTGTACTTAAGGAGGAGCCTCGCTGCAGTGTTTTGCAGCCGAATCAACGCGACGTTACCGCAACCACAGCTACGCCCCTACCACGGCATTGCACGTCCAAATACAGACGCAGAAAAATTATAGGAGAAATTCCATGTCCAGTGAGACAATTAAATTTCCGTACCCCATACTGATCACCAGAGAAGCCTGTTTCTTTCGATGCGATGGCTGTTCTGATTGTAAATGTTAGCTGTTAAACATGGAGGTTAGCAGTCATACTTCCTGTGGGATTTGCGAGAATGCGTTTTAATTTTTTATAAAATACGCTTTATCCTGTAACTATGTGTCCTCTTTTGCAAAAAATGTTTGCGAATTTGGGTAATAACACTGCATTATAATTTACAATAAAACTGATATAATTAATTATTGTTTAGTTTTTATATCGGCCAAAATGTTCGTAGAGTGAGAAAAACTGTGAATGATAGCAAGAAAACTTAACCGCAAAAAAACCAAAATCTGAACCAATAAGTTAGAACTCTAACAGCATTTCACACTTTGCTTCTCAAATCCATGCATCTTAATAAACAGTATAGTGTAATTTACAGTAAAATAATTATTAAAAATAGTTTTTGTAAAGTGCTGTACACAAGCTTTCAATAACCGTAAACATTGCCTATTCCAGCAAACAACATTCACCGTAAACTGAGATCGCATTACTCTTTAAAGGAATGCTTTTCTCGTAGAAATCGTGTCCGGGGATCTTCGATCGTCGGCATTTTCTTGTCCTCAACGTACGGAGGCACACCCGGTCTTGGCGTTGGTGTGATCTCCTTCTTCGCACGTGGCGTCAGAATCTCCATAAGCCTGACCGGCATCGAGTACGGGCGTTCGGGTGTACCGTCATTTTGCTCCAGATCTTCCACTGCAATAACATATTTTTAAAAATTAATTCGTCTTAAACAGATGCAGCAACAAAACCCCACGCTTATTGTTTCCGAAGTATGCTGAAAACTAAGCCCCGGTTTAGCTTAAAACCAGTACGCCTAGTATACTGACCGATCCATAACCAGTGAATATTAGCAGCGACATAGACAATTTGTTGAACCACTTACGGAAACACAAGAACATGGTGTCCACCGCGGTTTCAAAAACCTGAAAAATTTCGTTGGCGATGAAGTACGTTCCGAGACACACAGCCTGAAAAAAACTCCGTTACGCAAAGGTCACAATCAAAATGTTAGAAAGGGTACCATACAATTGTCGGCAGCCATGTGTAGTTAATCGCAGGCTCGATTGGATCCATGCCGGGCACCCAGCCAGAAAAGATATAATACGAGGTCGCTCCTGAATTTAACAAAGAAGTGAAACAGTATCATTGTAAAAGCAGGCAGCACGAGTTACGAGCAAGCCGTTACCATTTACGCCGACAATGGTTAACTTCCCCAGAAAAAGCAAAAATGACGTAACGCTGTTGATCGCAAGGACTCTAAAAATACAAACGAGTTGCGGCGGCTGGTGCTGTTGAAGTTTATGTAATCAAAATACTATTTTAATTATTACCTTAACGTGTTTCGAGCGATGAGATAAAACGCTGATTTAGCGGATGGATAAAAGCCTTTTCCGTAAATGGCAATCTGCAGTTAACAGAGAATAAGGAACATTTCCAGCCAAATCCAGTAATTACTGTGACAGAACTTCCTCACCATATTATAGGCGTTGCGATTGATAAATTTGATGAAGGTCTCAAAAATGAAGACGCAACAAGAAAACGCTCTGCAGAAACCTAGTCGTTAATGTTCTCTGATTGAGCACACACGATGTCACAGCATTATGCTGGAAAAAGAGTACTGGGTACCTGAGAACGTAAGCAGCCGTCTGCGAACTCAGCCGTTTAAAAAGCCTTCCAAAGAAGTCGAAAATAACACGAATCAATCGGAAGATAGTAACCAGCAGGGCGCCAAACGCGATGGATCCCAAATGGTATCTAAAAAGCAGCCAATCAATGGCATTACTCGATTTTTGCCTTTTGACCTTTCCTGATCTACCGAAAACGCACCTACTTGTTCGCCACAAGGAATCGCGTAGAACCCAGCGCGGTATATTGTGGGCTTTATCCCACGTCCAGTAATACGTAGCAAACGTCCCAGACAAGACCAAATCACACAGTGCCATTGTGAAGAAGATGGTCCAGAAAATCATGGCGATATTGTACAGCTGGAGTGTTATCAGACCGCTGCAAACAGTACGTGCCAGCTTAAACGAGATCCAGCATCGTTTGTGTAATTCCGTTAGACGAACCCCGATATTCCCAGCTTCTGCACTTGACACTCAGCAGCTATTTTGGGGTGTTCTTTCAGTTGTGTTTTAAATGTCTAGAAGACACGGAAATTTTCACGGCAGTATTTATTTACCCGATTTCTACGACAACGACTGTCATCAGAGATACAGCGGGGCGGCGACGACTGTCATTAGAGATACAGCGGGGCAATGCGGCTTCTGTCTTGGGCACCGTTGAGAAAGCTGATATGTTTAATGAGCTTTGGTTTTCCTAATTGCTTTTTAACACGTGTTGAAGTGTGGGTTTGAAATAAAGTCCTTTGTATTTTACCCGTTACGCTGTGTAAATCGGCTAATTACGATAGGTATTTAGAATTACTCACGTTTGGATCGCACGTATCGTTGGCCCGAAATCCCTCCGTTGTGTCGTCATTTGACTTAGTAACGGTTCCCGTGAGTTGTTGTGTGCTCATCAAATTACTACACTCAAACCCACTTGCTCAGTACCGGCCTCATAAGATTACAAAATTTGTACGTACATACAGTGCTACGTAGATTCCCAGCGCCAGAAGTCCCGTCTCCACGATAAAGGGGGCAATCGGGAAGAGGACTGTGGACTTGACAGCGCTAACTGCTCTGATAGACGTTTAGCTTACATTATGACAGATTGTGGCCTTTGTAAACAGTGTGCATACTTGGATGCTTCTTGCATGAGCGCCACGGCGGTCCGGATGCGACTGCGAATGGCAAGCGTTAGCTAAAAACAGAAGCACGATCATTCCACATAGCAATAAACCTATTCAGAACAAACGTATTAAATAACAGCCACTTCCGGTTTGCTTTCAACTGAAAGTTAAGAGATCCATCTCACCAAGTGTTAGCCAAAAGTCTTGGTTAGTCAAGTACAGCGTCAGATCAAAATAGTTCGTGAGCCCCGTCACAGACTTTCCTGATGATAAAAAATGACGGTTGTAATAAAACGAATAATTTCACCCAAGAACGGAGTACCTTCTGCTTTTTCAAAGGCTTCCATAATCAAACCATAAGTCGAAAAGCAGTAATAAACTCCTACAAGGACATAGAGTACTATAAAAGCCATGAAACGAAGTAAAAATGTAATGTTTTGTGAAGGAAAACCTTTTCACAACTTACCATAGAGCATCAGCGCCGAAATGGTCGCCATTGCAAACCACACCAACCACAGCGCCAGCCAGCGCATCGCCAGTACCCACGTGAAACAAAAAAGTGCTCCCACAAAACAAAACCTGAAAAATTTAGTCCAGTGTGGACTAAAAAGAACACTTCTTTGTGGGCAAAACTTACAAAAGAATGATCCACGATGTGCCGGCTAAATCTTTGGTAATATTGGCCATGAACGCTTCCGTCTTCATGTACTCCATTAACCACCGGGAACCATTATGGGCGTCGTCCGCCGTGATGGTCTTATTGTCCAATCCGGTGACATTGAGGCCGCGTCCACTGGCGTCTACCGTGGTTGTATCGGTGGACGCTGCAGTACTACTTGTAAGATTGCTGGTGGTATGCGTGACAGTGGTCGTCACAGTTGCCGCTGCCGAACTCAGCGTGGTAGCACTGGTAGTATTGGTTGGTGTTGTAGGCGACGTGGATGTCGTGTTGCTATTGACGGTAACGAAGACGGGCGGAATACGCGGGATCTTTGTGTCAAAGATGTTGAAAAATGTGCCGTTGTTATACATGCCCAGACCCGGGAAGCACCGGCCTCCGATGGCTCCACTAGGGAAGTAATAAGCAGCGCATTGCTGCGAGGTCACCAGTGCAGTCACATCCTAGAAGAACGCATAGTAGTTCGTAGAGCGGCACTGGATATAACAATATGCAAGTAATAAGCTACAAGTATGCGGGCACACTGGACCGCAAAAAAAGGTGAACAACCACAAGTACCAATGCTTGAAGGCTGAAACCGTATTGGCAGCACCAACAAGGTACTGTAGATAAATTACCATTATACCACAATAGCACTGTAGGTAAATTACCAACTAAAAAGTATTAATAATCACCTGCTTAATCATTGACCCCACGCCTAAAGTCGTTATTCTTGGTTTTCAGCTTAAGCCAAAACAACGCATTTGACCTTTCCGTTTATTTATTATAGCAGTCAAAACTTTGCGGTCCATTGTACTTCATGTTCAAATCAAACTACTAAGCCTTGTATTTCTCATTACCTACACGAAAGTCTCGGATATTCGTTTTGTTCACTTCGTAGCTACAGATCAACCGACTGGTATCAAGGTCATCGGAACTCGTAGATAATTCCATAAAGGAGAAGCTGGAGTTTGGACACATTGGAACGCAAACCTGCGAAGCACAGTATTTTGATTGTGGTCGTCGTATACGCACGGTAAATGACTGACTGCATGGACAGTTTCTCCTTTAACTACAAATGTTTCTAGACTATTTGCATACCGCAGTAGTAAGGCATCCGGTTATCAGAGCAGCTACACCCACGCACTGCGTCAGATCGAAATAAAACAAGAATGGCATGCTCCTGTAAAATAGGTTTGTTGGCCATTGTCAGGACACACTTATCAACAGCTCCTTACTCCATGAGATCCAGTCCGCACACGAACCCCAAACTGTCCGCTGGATTCATCAGTCGTTTAATGTCACCATTCGCTAGCGCTGTTAAGGAAGTTGCGACAGATTAGTCAGTTCCACATTGTCGAACGTACGACGGAATGTACCGTAGCCGATGATGGCCAACCAAGCAATCAAGCAAGCGCCAAATATCCCCAGCACAATCGGATCAGTTAATCGCCTATACGAGAAAAACAATCGGTGCATGTTGCCGCTTGATGTAATGGACAACGGAACAGGTGTATTACCTTAGCTTCACGGGCCCGATAAAATTTGGATCAAACGGTCGCGGTGTCCCTAAGAAAAGGCAGTGCAAAATCAGTTACTGCGTACAGTATAATTAGGAACAACACATTATTCCGTTTCCGTCGGATCGTGTAGCCAATTGGCGAGGTTATCACAATTTTAAAGGTTAAGCTGACTTGCACTTTCGTCGCACTATAAAACGAGCTTGCTCAGCTTTACTCAATACCGCTTGGTCTACGCGCTACGCTAGTTTTTTCACATGTGTACTCATAAGTTTTGTTCTGACACAAAATCTTTTTGAGGACTTCAAAGCGATAAATCGGTGACAGAAAAAAATTTACTCTTAAGTGTCTGTTTGCAACAGTACCTACTCACCTAATGCAGGGAAATGCTGTTGCTTCCCGATCTGGATTCCCAGATCATCCGGTTGGACTTGAATGTTCTGTGTTTTGACTTGCTTTTCTGAAATGTGACCAAGTAACACAGTTAAACTACGTACTGCTGTCTGCAGCGCGATAAATTCGCACGAAAAAGGTTCCTCACTAAACTGGAGTTCGAATCATCTGACTTTTTGGGATCATTTGTTCCAACGCCGATAAGAGGCTGCTTTTGCTCTTCTGCCAAACGGAAAAGATCGATAATTTACTGAAGATGAATGACGATTCCGAGGAAAAACAAAACAGCATACGCACTTAGTGTGAACAGAAGATCATTCGGCTTCTGGTTATCATCGAAAAGGCTGGCGGGCATAACTTGCGTAACTGTGTAGGACGGAGATTCTTCCATTGCATACCCAGAAAGTTAGGTACCGGTATACACACTGTATCTAATCCGCTTTTAATAGCTGCTTATTTAGCTTTTCCAGTACTCTGCCATTCCGTATCGACCGATATTTTGTGCAAGGACGACTAACAGTTCGCGACTTTTTAACGATGGACTTGACAGCATACAGTAAACCGCCTACACGCCCTCCGCAAACGTCATTGCCGTTCATATAACACGATAGAGACACGATATAAAGTATGATATTTCTCTCAAGACAAAAGCTAAATTTTGACCAGCTGAGCCAAGCCGTAGTTCGCACACTACTATAGCAATATCATAATCTATAAAACTCGTTTTTGCCCTTTATCGTTAAACAAAAAATTCCCAAAAAAATGGTGGAAACCGGGTTCAGTAAAATGTACACATAAAAATAAATTCCTTGCAAAGTAACAGACAGTGCTGTTGGCAAAAATGTTGAATAAAACTTGTAAGAAAAGGTTCACTAAGCTATCACAGTAGGCACTTATTTACGGTGATATGTCTTTGGGGTTTTCGCATTCGCATCCCTGCAAGGGAATCTGACAAACAGCGTTACTGCAGTGGTGAGAAAATGGGCACTATGTGTCGCCTAGTGATAAGGTCATGACGATACATAATTATTGTCTGCTGTAAGCGTGGCATCTCTATAATCTAATGCATAATTGTGCAGCACAGCGTTTATAGCTTCGATTTTATTTAAATATTATAATTTCTTCATTTCCATTTTGTACGTCTTCAGTACTGTTTTGTTCGCAGTTACAGTACAAACATGCTCGTGGATAGCAAAAATAATAATTATGTTTGCTATATTTCGCAATCTTCAATCGAAACTTATCTTATTGAAATCCAAGCCACGCAAAAACGCCTCACTTAAAAATGAAATGGATTTGTACGCCGATTTTAACTGCTTAACAACGCATAACTGTCGCAAAACGCACTGCGGTTTTGGTTCACAAAAGGTACGGTGCGAGATCTATCGAAACTTTCGCACCGCAACTAACGAAAAAGGCGAATTTAGATTTTTGCAAGCTTCGATGAAGAACGCAGCTTCTTTCATCGGCAGCTTTTTGCAGTAGCCGTCAGGATCGACCGTACGACATGTCGTGCCACGTTTCGTCCTTATGTGCTTGTCCTTGTTTTTGACCTCTTTGCCGGCTGCTGCTATTTGCGCATGCCATAATCGATTTGAGAGTTAGCGAATGCAGTATGTTCTCTCAGTCTGGGCGCTGGTTTTTCGCCTTCGCGTTCACGCTTCCATGTCTAACCATCAGTCGGGACAGAGTTCGAACGTAATACTGGACCGGGCAACTCTCAAGAATGCAACAGGCTGGGTTAGGCATGCCACTGCAACGGCACGTTGTTGATCTTTCGTAATATCATCGTTTAACTACGCTGATCGGGATTTCCAAATCCGGCGGGATAGCAGTAGATTCATGACGTCCGTGAGTGTTTCACGATAACGTGGCTGGATCTTGTTGCTGAACTGGATTGAGTACCTACAAGAAACGTAGCTGATAACTGCAGAGGATCAACAATTGACCAAACTGCTGAAAACCATTCGGAGGCCACATGAATATCTGTTTTACATATACATGATGCATAAAATAACACTGGTTCCGTACATATTATGTACTATGCACTGTTGTCTGTAGGTGGACCATGGGACTAGCGCACACTTTTTGACAAATACGTCCGGGGCTATAGTGCTATCCTGTTCTTTTTCTGTACTCTTCGTTGTACGAGTCTTTCTGCCGCCGATCCAATATAGGTGTTATCAAAATCATCGTCAGGTTCCAGTTCTTTAGGAACAGGCAGCTGGCTGGTAACGCTCCGACTTGCGTAGCTGACGGACGAAATACGCGGTGACGCCGAGGACAGCAAGAAAGTTTAAAATGCCAGTGAGAGTGGACGCTAGGGCTGCCTCGTAATGGCTGGCATCCACAGGATTTTCTGCATAATATAACAAACTTGCGTTAAAACTGCATGTTTTTTGTAAGACTTACATCCATGCACCATTACAGCCATCGCTGCTAGAACGAGGCATATTTCTACTGTACTTGTGGTCTAGTCACCATACAGCCACAGAATGTGCCTTGCGTTGATGAAATTTAGGGAGATATTCTGCAGAAGGTTTTGGTAACGCAGTGTCGTCATAAGGTCATCGATATTAATTCCGGATGTATTAATGGCAAGCGATAAAATAACCACCGCTGCAAATCAAAACCGTTAAAAGAGTTTCAGATAAATACTTGAAAGAACGTATAAATTGCCAAACGAATGCGGAAAAATTATCGATAAATAAGAGCTGCCAGAAAATTGGAAATTCGTACATGAGCTCATGGGCGGCTCCGACGGTGTGTGATAGGCCCAAAGGTCACTGCCGACCGAGTAGTTCTTGGCTATTAGCTGGACAAAATCCTGAATCTGTCGCAACCATCCATCGGTAACCAAGCCTCAGATGAAGCAGCGCAAAAACATGCCTTCCACATCTTTCGTCCATTTGGTGGTCAGGTTCTGCGCCGCTTGCGCCACTGTTGTATTGTAGATGATCTGCAGGTAAATCCGCTACCGACGTGTCAACAAACAGATTATCACAGCAGATGCGCAACGCTCGTATGACGACCCACGCAAATGCCGCTGTGCCATTATTACGGTCAAGGAATACCGACGAGGATGCGTAAAATGCGGTGTAGTTAGCGCACCCTGCCAACACGTGCGTCAGGTCCGTGAGGCTTCCCACCGTCAAGTTCGCACTGAGCGCCATCAGTTCACTCTGGCTCGTTACATTTTGGGCGAGAGGGAATCGTCGGTCAATGGAGCTCAAATTAACTTGCCTGTAGTGGGCCAGAAGCTGCATACTTTTCGTTATGCGCCGCACCATCCAGTCCCGTGTTGTATCCTGCACGGCCATGTTCAGTATGGCGGTGACGTTCAGAATCTGCAGAGACAACCCTTGATAAATGGCCTGCATGGCACTGTTGATGCAGTCGATACGCTTTTGTCGGTCGCTGGTCAGCGCTTTCCGCCATAATCCAGCAAAAATTCCACGTCGTCCGGACTATACGGTCAGGCATAAGTAAGGAGCCGTTGACTGTCATTATTTATGTTGATGTCAACAACTTTTGAATACAGTGGAAGATCGTCCAATTTGCAGCTCTTGGCCCGGTCTTGGACGGCAGTGGAAATAGTGGAGTTCTCCGCGTAACCGGTTAGGTTGAAGTTGACGATGAAGTTCACCGCTAACCGGTTCCCATTTGTGGCGTTGATTCCGCCGGTTGGACCAAAAGGCACCGTTTGCTTAGCTGCAACACAAACAGCGACTCTGTTAATTATCATTTCTACTAACTAAACTGGTGATTTGTTTGGAAATGATACTGTTTATTTTCCTTTTGGTTGGTAGACCGACTTATGCAGAGGTTAATGAGCACCAAAAAGACGAAAGAAAGTACAGCAGAGGAAAACACCTTAGTCTGTTACAAGATCACTTTCCTTAGTATTTTCCTAACTTTAAAACTTAAATTTATGTGATCAATGCCAAATTTTGTACGCACCCGACACTGCACAACCGCGAAGTAGCCCAACATAGCCAAGCCAAAATAACTGCAGTACACAGCACATCTCTTAACGGGAATCTTGCACAACATTAGTAGCATCAATTACTTTGGGATGTTCGATTCAGCATAACGATTTACCGCCCAGAGGCTCGATCCGAACCGATGTGCGCTGTAACAGTTCCACACAGCGCAGCCTAAAAGATGATATTCTCCTTAGCTCAGATGTGTCTATAAGTACAATACATAATCGCATTCGCATCTAACAGGAAGGTCGCTTTGTGCGAACCGAGCCAAAAGTACAATATTTTTTTATATTACAAAAACAGTTTCAATATTTTCGAATTGTTTCTAATTCACGACCGTTAGTTTTCATAAGCGACTGCCAACGCAAAGTACTTTCAAAACGTAACAGTTGCAGAAATCACATCGAAAACAGCTCTAGTGACGCAAGAAAATCTCACAATAACCAGAATTTTACAAAAGGTCACCGGATATTACATCCGCGGTGGAAAACGATGTAGTGTAAAAAATGGCCAGCACACTTCCTGTTCAAGATTATCCTGATAGCTATTATTTGAGATTAACGATAAATATGAATTAATAAAAGTTGTTCACCTCAGCTAAATTATTTGTAGCGGTCTGTATATCGCGCACCTGTAACCCTGCGACATCCTCATGTTTTTTGTTTTGTGACCATTCGCATAATTTAGTCATGGCTGCGCTTGGCAGATGAAGCTCTGAAGCCAGGACACGGGACAAAACGCACGACATATTATACGCCATCGATTTAAAGCAATCATTGTGGAAGACGTATTGCCACCAATTCATGTACCATTTTTGGGATTGGATTTAATTAAACTTATGTTCCACCTAGAAGCGGATCAGACTGCCGACAGTTCTGCGTAGCTCTTTGCAGTCACTGCCAGTCAGAATAGGGTGATTAGTTTTTAAAACAAGGAAAAGCCTGCCCCGTTCACGTAAACTATGTAGTAAATTGGTAATCACAGCCTAAAGCAGCTTATTTGGTCATTAATGTGACTAAGCATTATAGGTCACGATGGTTTTTAATAGCTGTGACTGCATCGTGCACATTAGCGCCTGTTACTTTGTAAATAACCTGAGCGTTCACGATGCAGTACGAGAATAATACTTAATTTGTCATACCAATCACCACGCAACTGCACAATAATTAGCTGTTGCTAACTGAGTAAAGCAAGGAGTATGTTCCGTTACTCCAGCCGCATCCTTCTTCATTCGATTTCGTACGCCCATCAGCCCATGCAATTTTTAGAAACGTTAATTAAGGCAGTCCCGTGAAAAGACGACCGTTCGATACCCGCGAAATCATTGAACGGCTTCGGATAGCACAGTTTAGATTATATGATAATGTGGTTGGAAGAAAGCCATGTGTGGGGACTTTGGGGTTGTACCAAAGCGCCCCTATATAAAGTTATTATTGTTGATTGTGAGCAGTTTTGACCTCGCGCACAGATGATGCGGTACCTAGCTATACAGTTGTTTGGTTCTGTCGTTAAAGAGTTGTTCTTATTTTTCTGGAGTTCCTTAAGAGGGCTTGATCACTGCAAATCATTACGAAAGAGGAAATAATTCTGTGTATGACCTTGCTTGTTTATCACGTTTAGAAGATTACGGGAATTTTGGCAAATTTTGTCTCCGTGATAATATGTGGCTGATCTTCTGGATTCGATTTAGCCTCGCCGGGTAATTTGGTCATGATTGAGGATCATCAAATTCCTTGTATGGGATTATGCTTGAATAATATGCATAGTCCGGGTATGTATCACTGCAAAAAGCGAAACGCTTTTTGGTCTCTTGAAAAGTTACTCAACTAAATTAGTCCACGGACTGCAAATCTGCGCCTGCTCGTATTCTGTTTGACTTGAAGCGTTTTCATGTGGTCGTTTGTTGGGTCATCGACGGCGAACAAGCGGATTTTACTTCTTTTACTCCCAGCTATCTGCAAGACTGTCCACTCTTCCCTTCCCAGTTGAGGTACTACCGCGAAAGGGCTCGTAAGTCTCGCGTGACCAAGAACTGCGTGATCATTACATGCTGATGTATTTGTCTCAAATTCGTATGCGGAAATAGCCCCTGCTCATCCACGGGAGTAAAATAAACATAGTATCCATCTCAGTGAGGGCAAACTCTCTTCTGTCCAGCAGGGCCTCTGCACCGCATAACTGTCGTGCGAATGCACGGTGAGTAAATGATAAAATTAATGTACCAGGGGCAAATGCCATAATTTACGAAGGCACGATTGCCGGCTGTGATGATTACAGATCCCAGATCTCAGGCTTTTCCGCCCTGCAAACGGAAGTTTCCGCTTCGAAGTCGGCGACAAGCTTGGTCTAGGAATTATTCAAAATCTTAACGACAATTCGGTAAATGAAGCTTGTGCCAGCCGAATTTTACATTCCCTTTGAAAAGAGGGCCAAAGGCCCAAAAGCCCGTTGCAGCAGCAGAAGAAAAACAGCCTCGTATCGCGTGGGCCACTACTAGGAGACATGTCGCCAAGCCTGATTGACTAGTCACAAAGTTGCTAAAATCCGACTTTTCACATTTTCTGCCGTCAAAAAGGCCTTTTCTGAAGCCACAGCTCAGGCCAGGGTAGTGCTTATGGCGAGCTGGATAAGCTATTCAACGCAGCTTGGTCCGTGTGCTTCGCAAGTTTGACTTTAACTCAATCACTTTGAAGGTGCTCATGTTGCAGTGCAATAGTTCTGGTTACTCTTTTAAAGCGGAGAGCATGTTTTCGACTGTAGTTTCATGACTTAACACATAGCAAATTTCATCTTTCGTTATTTTTTTATCAGCCTCCGTAAACCGCTTCGCAAGCTGATGGCAAAATGACACATATCTGTAGTGACCTTCTTCAAATGGGTGTTTCTTTGCACGGGGTGCCACTTGCACAAACCGAACTAAGCCCTCCTCGTAGTCTACGAATAGCATCAAACCCAGGATTATTTGGTATTGTAGGCTTTATCCAAAACGGACCGGCATTCGGTTGTGTAGCCTTGTCCCCTCTGTCGAACATGCTATCCGCCGTAAAAATACCGTCGAACTTTGCAGCACGGCATTTTGCCTTGTAAATCTGTCCTGTCCAACTTGTGTTTCAACTTTTTGAGTTGCGTTCATCGCTTCGTCTTACCATTAGTCTGATGGCAATGGAGCCATTCTGGATAGCAGCAAAATACTTTGGTGACCTTAGTCGTCCGACAGTTACAAACCTTACCATTAGTGTTACGTCAAGAAAATCCGCGCCCGATAAGATCTTTCCAGTTTAAGGTCAAGGTGCTATTCAGTTGGTCCGCAATGCCGATCAGGATAAAGCTGCTAAATTGCAGACCATTGCAGAGATCTTCGGTGCACAGATACGTCATTCGTGATCTGGACAATCTTTGTGTCGCCCATTTCATCCTTCCTTGCGTTGTAGACAGTATTTTGGAATACAGCCTGGGTGAATCAATGTCGCAGTTGCCAGCTCCAGTAAAAGAAACAGGCTCGAATTCGTGAGCAACGTTTAAAGCATTATACAAGCAGCCTTTCGACACCGAACAGGGAAATTGGTGACGGAACTTAATATTGTCAACAGAGATATTGTGGTCTTTAGCGTGTTTCTACGTTACGAGTAGGTGCATAAAAGTAACGGGTCATCGGAGAAAAGGCCCCCAAAATGGATGCGAAATTCTAAGATGCAGAATGTTACGTGGATGGTGCCGCACTGCGCAGTGTTGACTGTCCTTCAAATTGTGTTTCCCCAGGAACGCAGTGGTTGTTTACATTCAACCAGTTTTTCTCCAGTCGATATTATCATATTTGCTACAATGAGTGTCTAGACTGATGAGCACTAAGCAGCATCTGAAGAACAGACTGCACAAACTTTCGTTTGGCTTCCCATGGTGGTTGATGTTTGTCGGAAAGGGTGCGTCGTTTCTTGCATTTCGGAAACATCCGGCACCCCGTGTTCTCTTGGATAGATGTCTCTGCCCAAGCGGGTTACCCTATCGGGTCAGCATTGCTAAGGTGTCGTAAGCCTCGTATCACCAAGAACTGGTTGACCAGTGCCAGGTTTGTGTAGTTGGCTCGGGTTACGCATGCCTAAGTAGCCTCTGGCGCATCCACGGAGTAAAAATATTAACACAGTTTTCGTACCGGTCAGGGCAAACTCGGGCACAGTAGAACATTCGCAACGGACTGCAAAAATGCAGTCGTGGTTCTTCCGCTTCGCGGGGATAGCTCACCTTTTGTAACATGCTTCACGTAAGGGAGATCAGCGTTCGATACAGCCTGATCGGAACATTCATACCACCGGGATATTCAGTTTGTACGCAGGACTGGTAAAGACATTGGCAGCAGTAGAGCTATTAAATTGCAGACGGTTACATAGGTCCTCCGTGCAGCTGATCTGGACAATTTTCCTGTAATCCATTTCCTCGTTGTTTTCAAAACAACGGTTTAGAATACGACATCGGTGAGTCAATATTGTAATTGGCAGCTCCCAGTGATAGAATACATTTACATCCTCGAGCTACGCTCCAGCGCATTATAAAACAATCTTTCTACACCGAATTGAAGAATCGTTACCGCATTGCCACTGTCCGAAAAAGGTTCGCCAAAACTCTACAAAGTTCAGTTTGTTCTTAAATCTTACGATGCTTCTGACTAGTGCGCGCTAGCTGGCAAGGCAGCTCATTGCCAGTTTTCGTCCCGCTTGCAGAAATGGCAGACTTTTCTGCAATATAATTTGTGACAGGGTCGCTGCCGCTTCTGACCGCTCATAAAGTGTTTCTTGAAATGCATTCCGCAAGGTACCTAAACTCTGAGTAGTAAAAATAACGGTGCGTAAAAATAACGGCTCATTGTGGAAGGGCATGCACAAAAATTATATTAGAACTGTAGAATATGTCGAGTAAGCTGTTCTTCCGCATTGTATCCCAGTGTATACAGTGGTTGTTTACATTCGACCAGTTTTTCTCCGAGCTATATTTGCTACTAAGAATGTTTGAATTCTGCTAAAGAGTAGATGGTTTTGACACAAGTAGATTTTAAAGTCACATAACTGCTGGTGTTTAATGGTAAGGTTGCCTTCAATTGCGTATCCTGTGCCATTTTCCGCGGCATGTGTCGATGTGGTCTTTCCATCGCTATTACTGAAACTAAATACAGCTACTTCCAGTACCGTACAGTATAGAGCAGGGAACGATTATGTCAATTAGAACGGGAGCAGGACTAAACCGTCCACAATCCAGGCGTTATCGCTTTTTGATCGGAGGGATTCGCGCTACCGTGGTGTGGAGGTCATCATCCTGTAGTATGGTAGGTAAAGAAATATCTAGCGAAAGCTTTTACCAGACGTCGTTGATCGATAACGCAGAATAACAGGTTTAGCCCGAAATCAACAGCCGACAGAAGCTGCTGGAATAAAAAGCAAAAGCTCTTAACGTTAACCGTTGAAAGGCATTCATTTAACGGCAGTAATATGAATTCCGTTACGTAGTGTTAATTTTGTTGACTTTCCTCAGATTTCAATTTTTAAGCGATAACGGGTAGCGACTACTTTGTACGGTGTTTTTTTTGCACTGAATTGGCTAATAATGACTCTTGAAGGTTGGTTTTCCGTATTTGGTGCCCTTTGTGCGATCATTTGAATGACCGCAAAAGGATCGCACTGAAAACGGAACGCCGCACTCATCAAAAACTCCAAACGATTTGCAAAACATCGCAACAAGTATTTAATGTATGATTAAGCCACCTATTTCCGTAGTCGGCTGAGGCAGATAAATAGAATAAGAACAAATAGCTTTTGCTTTTACAGGAAACCGGTGGCTGTGTAATGTCGCCAATCTCAATAAAAATGAAAAAGTATTCAAGTACGGCAATTACAGTACAGTACTCTTCAAGTATTTTTAATGCTAGTACAGAGTAGTATTTACAATCCCCGGACTGCGAAAGTTTAGGCACCTATAGGTTTTACTAATTCACGCTACTCTAAATTGCAATCACTGTTTGCACGGTATCACTGAGTTTAAAAAAACCATGTACAATACAATAATTTTCTCCTACGAAATACGATTCCAATTTCGAAATATAGAGTAGTATGCGCGTAATGTGGGCAAAGTATATAAATGGCTTATTGCCCGGAAGTGTGCGGCCCGCACAGGTGACGTGTGGGAGTAGGATCACACGCCGGGACGTACGTACAGATGCTGACTGTCCGCCTTCCATCTGCAACATAACGGATAATCTAGTCAATCCCTACTGTGATTTGCTGTTCTCTTTTACTAGCGGTGTATATGATGTCATAACGCAAAGTCTATATAAGTCCTGGTTGTCACTAATATCGGCAGCAGTCACGGATCAGTGGTCTGAGACTTGACTCCTGAGACTGTTTTCTAATTACGATTTCCTAGCGTTGTGAACTGTGGTGTGTATTGGATTAAAGAGGCAGCAATACTTGTTCCTACGGAAGTGCATAGTCGTTCCCGGATTATCGCTTAGTATACAGGTTTGCTCGCGACACAACCGTCCTAGCTCTTGCCGATCCTCACAGGACTTGCGACCGGAAGTTGTGGTTAGACCGTTCCTGCTTAGGGATTCCTGAGATCTCATGTTCCTGATTCGTTCGACCTATTTCCGCCATAGTTTATCTGTTACAGTTTGAGATGAGAGTTGCCTACCGATTGAGCATTACAGCGTGGAAGAGTAAAGATTGTTCATGGAACCTTAATCGGTGTGAACGCTTATACACGACATGGCGCCCACCGGTGTCTTTTAATTTTCCCGATGTAACAGAAAATTATTGGTGGAAAGTTTGGTAGTAATTTATTGGTAAAGTGGTCCGTACAGAAAGGCGCCGAACCGCAAAGGTGCGCCGAAGGGGTCAGCGTTCCTGATCTGGCCTAACTTAGTTATTTTAGCGAGCTTCCTCGCAATTTGTGAGCTTCCTCACTGGTGAGCTTCCTCGCCAATTAAATTAAATTTATTTAATTTGGACCGTAGGAAACCAGTCGAAACCTCAAAGGTCGACTGCGTGAATTGAGTGGTGTTTTGGTTGGTAATTTCCGGGTTGTCTGCGCAAAGCAGTAACCGCGGTGAATAAAGTGTAGTCGGCAGTGTCAGTGTGCCTGGCCTGCAGACTAATCAGATAGTAAGCACTGAGCCACTGTCAGTGGCCAGGTGAGATAACGATCTCCAGCAGCTCGATAAAGGCAAGCCGCAAGCGGTAGCCGGAATCAGCAGCCAGAGATAGTTGTGAGTGAAAAAGGCAAACACCGGCAAACGGTGATTGACCTGTAAGTTAAAATTACGGCAGCACGCAAAGTGCAGCAGAGTAATTTTTACGTAACGACCTTCAGCAGCTCGATAAAGGTAAGCCGCAAGCGGTAGCCGGAATCAGCAGCTAGAGATAGTGATTGTGAAAAAGGCAAACACCGGCAAACGGTGATTGACCTGTAAGTTAAATTACAGCAGCACGAAAAGTGGCAGAGTAATTCTAGCAGTTATTTTTACAGTCAAACCGCAGGCGCCCTATCATTTTGGCCACCATTCATTTTGGCCACCATTTATTTCGGCCACCATTCATTTTGGCCACCACTGATTTTAGTACCGCGTTCGATTTTCAGCTAATACGAGTACATACATTCATTACGCTGTGAGCCTGTGATCCAGCAATGTTTCCTCAATAAATAAAACATAATAAAAATAAACATAAGAAAACATAAGGAAAACAAGTAAATTTAATAACATAAACCTAAAATAGTAAACACACCAAAAAACCGAGGGCAAGAGTTATTATTACTCATTTGGAGTCACTGTCTGGCAGTTTTTGCGTATAGGACAGATCAGACATTTCTGACAAATGGAAACAAATGAGACAAAATTACACAAAAAAATTAAAACTCTAAACAAAATGAAGCAAAAATAAATATTAAATCTTGCCTTGGGTTTGTAAATGAAGCAAAATGACATAAAAATTCCAACAACCCGCGCTTTAGATACAGATCACATGTCAATATACATCTACCGGCGACTCCACCGTCGACACGTCATTGAGAACGGTGACCTCTTGTCCGTCCATCTCCAGCACACTCCACACCGTCCCATTGTGGTTGGACGGCACAAAGTACTGCCCAACCTGCCGCGCGCCCCGATACATCTCCAACGTGGCGCCCGAATTCGGTAGTCCATCGTTGTTCACCTGCTGACGATACGTGTAATCGTGCACGCTGACCCGATACACGCCGCTCAGCTGCTTCGTCACGGTGATCGTCTCCGGACCGTAGCTGCTGACGTCATCGACATCCAGATTGGTATGCCCATCCGGGCTGACCATCAGCCATTTTGGCCAATAGACGTGCATGCGCTCCATGATGCCGTCATTCGGACCACGGATGTGCAGGTCCAAATCCAACGGAGTTTCACCCCATTTCAACACAAAACGCGTCTCTTCGCTGCCGATGACTGGGGAAATGACGCTGTTCTGATTGGCCCGCACGATCCCACCAAGGATCACCACGGTAAAGGTCATGGGGGTGAAGCTAGGTTTGTTGGCCGCGGCGGTGTAGTGCCCCGTCGGCAAATTCACCGACCAACTACCATTTACGGTTTTCGCTGTAGCTACCACATTCCCGTATACCGCATTAATCCCTTCGCGAAACTGCAAATCAACGTCCGATTCCGGCATTCCAGTGAAAGCGTTGCTGATCAGCCCGCTGGCCACGCCCAGCCCGATAAAACGTCTGTTGATATAGAGTATGGGTTCGAGAATTAGTTCCTGGTGCGCCGTAACCGTTTTATTGTGCATAACCGCGGTGTAGTATCCCGACAATTCAAAATGGAAGATGTAGGTGGCGCTGGGCAGCGACAAAGCGAATTCCCCGGCGGCATCACTGGTCTCTGTGGAGCGGAAGCTTTCTCCGGTTAACTGCGCGATGACTGATACGTCGCCCAGTCGATGGGAGGTGTCGGCGTCCCGGACAACGCCCCGTGCGATGCCACGCGGTTGGAAGACAATCGGGTGGATTGTTGTCGTTGTTGGCGGCACCGTTGTCGTAGTTGGTGACGCTGTTGTCGTTGTTGAAAACAATATCGTCGATTTGGCCATGGTTGTCGTTTTCGTCGTAGCCAGAACTGTAACAGGTGTAGTCATCGCTGTTGTCGTTGTAGTGAGCGGCGCAGCGGTCGTCGTAGTCGTAGACGTTGTTGTTGGTTTCTGTTTGATAAAGAATCGCGGCTTCTTAGCATAATCAATCATGGCATCATCCAGAAACTTTCGACGACGCTGCAACGCCGTCACATTGTACGTTATGCTCCGGCATTCGGACCCGACCGGCGACTGCCTGACTACATACGGTGTCAAGAATGAAGTGATATTCGCTATGGTCAGCGCCACCGGCCGCATCGACCCTTCGGCCACGCGTAGTAATTTCGAATTCCGCCCACCGCTGCGGTACCGGACAATCCGTTTGGATGAAAAGTTCCCGTAGCGCACACGGGTGATGATGTGCGTCCCGAACTCTTTCAGGAACGCGACGTATTCGTTGCGGTCATAGTGATCGGGTAGAGCGCACACAGCGGCGAGGAAACGAGGTTCTAAGATGAGATCATCGTTGCTGTAAACGAGTTTGGCTTGTTGGAAAGTGGTATAAGAGAGATGATCCGTTACCGTGGCGTCGGCTGCCAAGAATTTACTGATTTCACGGAGTGTCGGGCTCAAGATGCCGGTGTTTTTGGCAACCGTTGGCTGCAATCAGGATTCTTTAAAGCACTTGTAACGCGAAGAAATAGCGTAATGTACTGAAAAACGGTGACCTTTCGAAAAAGAATGGAAAACTTGTAAATCAAATGGGCAATAATATTGTAGCGCAAAAAAAATTCACGTACATCTATCTATAGATGGATTTGGAAATTTAAGACATTTATGAAATTATAATTATAACAGTGAAAATTTAATTCGTAGTTCGATAAAAGATAAGATATAACGTCACTACTGGTAACTCACACCGCGCACAAAAAAATAACACTGCTAGCATCTTACATGTAACGGTGTCTTGACCACAACGTAACGTTCCAGTAATTCCTCCTGATAGTCATTCTTATTCTGCCAGGTTACTTGCATCTTGTCGCGATTGGTCGACCGCACTGTTGCGCAACTAATGGGCTCTTGGCAAGAGCGCTCAACAGCACACGGACGGAAATCCAATAGCGAGGGGCCACGATGCACGGCCAAGTCAATGTCCCCGCCCAGAGGATCCGCTCGTAGCAAGTCGTAACCCCGTCCCAATAGGGAGTAGGTCATGTCACCCAGACAGGCTTCGCCCGGATGGGCCAGGGCGCGGCTCTGAATGGCGCGGATCCGGTTGCGGATGCCGGGCGGCCACGGGATGGTCTGCGGCGGCTGGTTAGGGCGTTCGGCTTGGCTCTGCTTGCGGTAGTCCTGCAGGGCGCGCCGCAGGTTGGCCTGGATGGTAGACAGCCATTTTTTTACCGAGCGTTTGTCTAATCCGTCCACGACAGCCCTGGAATCAAACTTCCACAATTAACTGCTAGCACCAGATCTGTTACAAAACAACACTTAACGTTTATCTAAATTTGCCATTTATTGAAGATTCAAACGACGGTTAACCTGACGGTGAACCCACGCTCAACGTACGGTAGTTCGAAAGAAAATTCAGTAATTAGTTTTCTCAGTTTCATGCCCCTTTTCTTTTTCAGTTAAGTATATTCTATTTTTTTGACTAGGCTCTTACAGTTTCATTATGTAGCGGTAGAAAAATCATTTCAGAAAATTTTCGGCGATAAAATTAAAAGAACTTCAAACATTACCTGCAATTGTCCGCTGACGAGCCGTTGATCCGATCGGTACTTAACAGCGACGAAATATCCACCAGTTTCGTCACCCACGGAACATTCTCAACCGTCTCACTGATCACGCGAGCTGCACTTGCCGGGTCTTTCAGGATCTCTTTCGCTATACTGTCCAGCATTTTCGGCGTAACACTGTCCAGTTTCAATTTTTCGGCCAACGCCTGGTACTGACCGCTAAAGGTCACACCGTTCTGGACGTAATACTGGAAGATATCTTGCAGATGGATGGGGATGCGTCGGCGGGAAAAGGTCACCAGCTGGACGTCCACAACCGCATGGGTGCCGAAGCGCTGCAGGAACGCAATGTATGCATCGGCATCGTAAGTTGGCGATAGATCGCACACGGCAGCGGCGACTTCATCAGTCAAGATTTTGAATGAACCGTACTTGAGTTGTGCGTGTTCATGGATGGACATATTTAACAGGTCGACGTAGAAGGTTCCTTCCGCTAAGTCTTCGCGGAGGGGATCAAGCTCGGAAGCCAACAGCCCCATTCCGTTAATTAGATCACCCTGTAATTTGTGCAAGAACTGTGCAATTACGGTGGAAAACAATGCTATTCTAGTGAAACAGCAAAATTAATATGGAATGGTATTTTTATAAATCCGCAAAAAAAAATAATTCCAACTGTAGCTGAATTAAACAAAAAAAAATATTCAAAAAATTTTTATCACATTTTCATAATTATTACTAATTAAATAATTAGATATTAATTAATTAAAAAAGCATTTTACTTCCTGTGTGTGGTACCTTAAATTAAAAAAGCATGTGTGGTACCTTAAATTTTCCAATTATTTCTACGGATTTCTTCATGGCGCGTTGGTAATCGGAGAAAGCATTGATGAAAATCTTGGTCGACGTCTGCTTCAATGGACGCCCGTTACCGCTGCGATTGCATTCCGCCAAGAACGTGGGACACCGGTTGCCGCGACGGTATGTCGTCGGCAGAAGGCGCATGTCATTAATCAATCCGGGATCAATGGACGAAGAGAACGGATTGGCGCGCATCAGATCGTAACTGCTGCCCAAATGACGGGAAACTACGGGCACAGCGGATAAAGGAGCAACGGCAGTGTCCTCCGCGCTGTCATCATCCTGGTCCACGCTGCACGTGCCAAAGCAAAACATAAGACATCATTCGCGCAAATTACCGGTAAAATTAGGCTTGTGTGGATTATGACTTGTGCTGTATAAAATGAATAATAATTTCCAAAAATAAAAAATGAGTAAAGTGAAAGAGCTATTAAGAGGGAACGGAGACAAAATATTCAACCTTACCCAGGTACATTTACATCTGTGATTCCGTGGACAGCTGCATAAATCATGCAGAGATGCAAGAAATGACGGAGAACTGTCTTCCGCCACTGAAACATTTCGGTTTTCGGATCAATTAGGAAAAGAGCAAATCTTTATGGTCTCTTGTAACAATATTATTCAGATAATTTGTAAATATGTTCACCAGCCGACAACAACTATTGGCTAAAATACAGATAAAAGCTTCCAATGGCGTAATTAACATGTACTTTAAAAAATTACGAATTACTCCAGTTGTCCATGAGTTATCGTTGTACGGTAACTAGAAGTCGGTGATTGAAACTGACTGGAGTAGTTAAGTGTGGAAATTTCTGTACAGACACCATGTGAAAAACTTACTTTTAAAGCGCAGAGACGACCGGAAGTGACACATAGTATGGGTAGGTGTTATCGGTTTGATCAACGCGAGATAGCCCGCTGTCCGCTTGAGAAAAAGCATCCAATGACATCAGCCGCTGCTTTTCCTGCAATGCAAATGACGAAGAGAGGCTCTTAAAAATCGTCATCAACACTTTAATCACAAATTGATGACTATAGAGAACTAGATAATGAGCAAAAGCCCGTTTTCTAGGGGGAGCATTGGTAGCTAATAAGGTAGCCATATAAGCAACCATAAACCGTACATGACTGTACGTTACATCAAATTACGACAGAATTAGTACTCCTTGAAAAACCCACTGCAAGCTCATTTCCAATCAAACCTTACGCAAAGCCAGGCTAACGTTTTTTTTAAATTTCAGAGAAATTAGGATACTCGTAAACTGGCAGGATCACTACACGGTCACTAGACTCACTACATGTGTACACCATCTGATCTATACACCATGTAATGATCTTTATACAGTGTATAAAGATCACTACATGGTGTATATATCACATGGTGTACAGATCACTACACGTCGTGTTAATGAAGTGTGATTTTTTTTCTCTAGACAGATTTGTCTAGAGCTCTTGTTTTTCTTTGCGATTCACGTAATTTTTGGTAAGCCTTTTCGAATAAATTAGAAGCCCTGCCATTTCTGGTTCCAACCAGATTGGCAGGGACAAACCATCTCGCGGAACTGTTCGCCAAGAGGCACGAGCCCATCGTTACTCGTGCCTTCCGGCTTCCAGCACATTTCTCCATTCCTTGATACTTTCTCCTTCCCTGATTTTACTCATGACTGTTGATCTGATGTCGCACTGTTTCCCTGTCTGTTGTATGGAGGCCTGCGGGGCCTGGAGTTTGGGCCGCGGGGAGAACTTAGCTGACCACAGGGGCGGACTGCAGGGGATTTCTGGGCGCTGTGCTCGATGTGATCTGGGGTTAGCAATTCAACGCTCTGCGTTTCGACCATTAACCAGTGACCTAGCTAGTGCAGTGCTTTGGCGTTCCGTGTGGGCTTCCTTTGTGTCTGGTGAAGTTGGGAACCGTGGGTCTGGATTCTGGAACCCTGATGGACCCTGACATTTTCATTGCTTTCTCGCTCATTTCATTCCACTGTCTGTGACCATCTTCGCGAACCTCCTGGCTGGTGAATCTTCCGAGCTCTGTGGACTGGCGAATGGGACGTGGAAGTTGGGAGTTGGATTTCCTGCTTGTTGCGCTCGTTGTGATCTGGGGTTATTAATTCAACGCTTTGCGTTTCGACCGCTAACCAGTGACCTAGTTTGTGTAACATGTGGGGGATCTGTCTTTTAGACGTCTGCTCATCTCGTTTGCCATGTTTTCAGGATTGGTAGATTTGCTTTCTGCGGATTTTGTTCGAAACCTGTATTCCATGTGGTTAACTATTAAATTAAAAAGATCACTACATGGTGTATAAAGGATTAATAATTTCCGAATTTATTTCATTGCAGAAGAGATGACCTTTCGTAATAGGACTGACTGGATGTGTTCTTACCTATCTGTTGATACTGGTCCCATGCATCACACACCTCACAGTGGTGCCGGCTAGAGCTATTCCCAAAAGCGGCGATAAATTCCTCCAGGTCATTCTTCCAACTTTTGTGGCAGCCTCACACCGATGAAGGCCCCACCACTGTCAAAACACGAAACTTCAGGAAAATCTAAGCAAAATCGATGAATTTAGCTGGCGTTACACCATACTAAAATCTTCAACGCATTTTATAGGCTCTCCAGCTGCCGTGTGGTAGCTGAGAAACGTCAGAGAAGTGTCGCTTTCCACATCGCACTCGCGGCATAAAGAACGGCGATGCAGTCATCCAGTGCGCGCGTGTGTTACTAAACAAATGCGCAAACTGGTAAACGGGTCAGTATTTATCGGAAAAGCTGAATACTTTAGGTGATATCCTAGAGAATGCAACCTTGCGAGTTGCGACTAAGAACGCATAATATATAGTAATAATAATGGTACAGTAGTATTAATCTTATGTATTTCCGGACAAAAGGAGCGTTCACACACCATCGCCGTTGAGTGTATACAAAGAGTTGCATCCGTTCAACATCTTGGATGATGTTCATACCTGCTGCAAAACAAGGTCAGCACGGTTGTGGCTCTGTTCAAACAATCGTGGTCGAAAAATTATGCGGATCGCTGTAAAACTGCTTACTGATGTTTGTAGATTCGCGCCATTGCGCTGATATCCTCCTTCCCGTTCTTCTCTGCCGTGGAATTGATGAATTACTGATAATCATTTCCTGGGAAGCAAAGCGCAGCGTCGACAAACCGCCGCAACATAAACGAATAAAATGCGCAAAAACATAACACTTCAGAAACTTCAGGCTTATTGGAAATTATACTGTACACAAATTTTACACACAATTGCGTTCCTTTGGTGTTTAATGGCTAATGCCAATACACTACGATCCTGCGATATGATGAATAGTAAAAAAAAAAACAGTAAGCAGAATCTACAGTAAACTTGTAATTTCGCTTAATGTAGATATAGGTACCTTCGATTACAAATTTAATGCAATCATAGATTAACTTTAATTCTCCAAATTTTAGTAAAATATAACAAACGGCCCGGAATGAAAAAACCCAAATCGCATGTTTCATATTAACAAAACATTGAAAACGGAGCTCAAGTTGCCAGCAGACTCACCACTCAAGATAACAAAAAATGACAAATTAAAAAATGAAGTAGGTTAGGGCCAGTAGTTGTCCATTATAAAAAATGCAGTAGTTAGCGCAGCAGACCTGCTATTTTTGATGTAAATGCGTACGCCCTTCTGGACGCAGTAAACGCATACATATTGGTGTGGTGCTCGAATTTGTAGCGTAGTCCTTGAGAGTTGAGGAGACTACAGACCCTGCGGCATATACGGTGGCAGCCGCTCCAACAAATGAAAGTAACATCGCCATGGCAACAAATTAAGCATATACCGATAACGATAACACGTATAAGAGTACTCTTAAACAGATAAACTGGTATCTGCACACGTGCACGGCCCCCGTAGACATTTAAATACTTGTACAGTACTTACCAACACTACATATACTACAGTACGGCTAGAATGCTAAGTTTTTGAAACATCCCAACTAAAGCGAATATCTTTTCCAGAGCTTGACCAATTTTTGCTTCAACCTTGATGAGATAGTCTTCCAGTTCGGCAGTTTCATTCCCTATACGTAGTGCACCTTTTGAATTTTCCCATAGGATTGCTTGATTGCATACCATGGTGCTCTTACACGTTAAAAAAGGTGATGACGATCTGTTTCTGTTCGAATGTTCTGTCAGCATCCCCATCACATCCCTTACCATCGAAATAGCCAAGATCCATAACGGTCGTCAAAAGATCTTTCGCATGTGCTCCGAAATGGATTATCTGGCCGATCACGGAGTATCCCTTCCAACCAACATGGTCGGCCTTCTACCAGATCAAATCCAGGAACTAAAACTGACCGATCCTGGAGCGACTATGCACACCCCGTCGGGTGGGTCTATCTCCAATCCCGATCCTCATCTGAAGCGTAACGGTCACGCTCCTGACGAAGAGATGGCGAAACTCTTGAGAACCACGTGTGAAGCAGCCAAGCAGTCCATTCATAAGAATCTCATCCAACAAGGCACCGTCCTTTCTTATGATCATATAAGCGAACAGTTTCTGAAATTAAGAGATGCGCTGATGGCCGTGTATCCCATGGGACTGCCCCTGTATGATCCACTCCATGTTGAATCAACCAGCATGGAAGCCGCGGATTTGGACTGTGGATACGGGAGCTTTCGCGATGTCATTGACCCGCAGAACGCGGTTTTGTGGTGGGCGGGAAAAGAACTCAAGGGGCAAGATGAGAAGCTGCTCCGAAACTTCATTGGTTCTAACGAGAAAACCAAGATTGTTATTAAGCTGACGCAGAAAGGGTCCGGTGCACCAGGGCGTGAAGCCTGCTATACGGACGAGCAGAGAAAGGCGATGATGGCACAAGCGTTCCGGCGTCAGCAAGAGGTGGAGAAGCTGATGGAAGATGACGACGACCACTATCTGAATTCCCAGTGGGCGGATAGCCGGGCGTTGAAGAGGTCATTCCAAGGGATTAACAACATCAAGTTTCGTCCAGTGTAGCAGAGATGTGGAATTCCTGTAGCTCTGTTTATGTACAGATACTGTATATGTACATTGTACAGCGACGCATCCTTGGATTTTGCCGATCGCATGACGTTTTTGCGAGAGGACCGGTTGAGATACATCGACAAAAATGTAAGCAATACTTTACAACTAAATTAAGAAAGCAGTACTTTACAAACAATTAAGTTTAACTATCTGCGAGAATATTGTATTGAATAACACCGAGAAGTTTATTTTACTTATACGGCAAAGCTGCTTTAAAAACAGAATAAAACGACGTACAAAGTGGATATTTTGTTGTTTTTGTGACTTCACTTCTTTTACCTTCGCGCTTTCCCATAATATTACGCCATTTTGGTGATCGTTGAATTCAGTAAACACAGTAATTAAGAAAATATTCTTCGCATTGCAATTAATACGAGCACAAGAATGTTTTCGGTAAAATGGTTCATCGATTACTCTAGAGCTAGTACGAACTGACTGAAAATAAATATTTTTCAGGAATAAATTCAGCATCTGGAGGATCATCGTTTATACTTTCCGCGGCCGGCATAAAAATCCAAACTGATTCAATGAGAGTCTGCTCTTCAAGTCCAACAATACAGACTGCCGTGGAGGCCGTTGTGGTGTTGGAGCATCTAAATAGAGCCCCGTAGAAACAACAAGAAACCGTTATCAATTATCTGACCGGTAGAAACCTGATGGGTGTCACCGATTTTATTTCCCATGGGACCAGATTTTGTCTACGAATCATCTATGCATTAGCGAGGCCGTGAAGCGTCAAAAGGTGGATGAGAGGCGAAGGTTAAGCTACTTTTGTTTGTAAACTGCTGGACGCTTTAGAGGATTTAACGCCTCTGTTGCTGTATGTTTTACACTCTGATGAGTGTCTACTTGTCCTTAAACCCGAACATTTAAGTACGAGCTATTTTTGTGTTCCTGTCAGCTACGTGGTTCTTACGCCTTTTATTCGCACAACACCGTGAATAAACGCTAACGGAAGCCTAGTTTTTCCGCATCCCAAAAAATTGATACTAATATTTTCGTTAGAGGAACACCTGCTTATTACAGCATCCCATGGGATGATGAGACCGTATTGACATTTGCGGGTGATGTACTGAATTACGAGTATAATATTTTATTAAATGCTTTGCAATTGATGACAGACTGACAGTAAATCGTTATTCCGTCCCAAAATACTGGGCTTGTGTAAAATTCCAAAACCTCGTGCTTATAAATCATTTTCTCGTAGCACAAATAAAAGCAAAAAGCACAGGAAAACGAACAAAAATCGCATGGTTTTCAGACGAGCACACCCCATTTAAAATGTCAAGGTAATTGCGCTAGCATTTATCTAGGATAGATCCTAGAAAAGCGGATAAGATTCCGCAAGCATAAAGTGAAGCAGTATTGCTTAATCGTGTTATTGCCATTTCATAATTACGAATTCTGCTCATCGAGAGCCAAATCTACTCGATAAAAATTCTGACAGCAATGCCAGGCCGCAACCAGAAAAACTATCCGGAAATATGAACAGACTCTTTTAAAGCATGATAGACTTCACAACAGAAAACATGTATCACGAAAATGTGTATCGCCATCGAACCGTTGCACTACGATTCTCAACAAATCTGCTGTTTTCCGCTTTCTCTATCTGTCATAACAAGTTATAACCGCCGACGCCGCTTTGAACCTTACCTCTTTCTCCTGAAATACCACCTATCACCTTGCCCACTGCCCAATGACCAGAATGCATAGTCAAACACCGAGTCACGTTGGGATCTCCGTGGGAAATCACCGGCAGTCGCCTGTCACAGGCTGACAGGCGACTGCCGGTGGAAATTTTGGCTGCTTCCAGCGAGCAACTGTTAAGAACGTGCACTGTAACTACCGTAAGTCAGTTACTGCGCACTATTTCATCTCGTGCGTAATACGAGTAATTGCATACGAAAACCAGAGCCCTGCACGAGCCAGGCGGCAGCTCGGCTCTGAAGCGCTGGCGCTCGCGAGCACTTCGACGAGCAGGCGTCGTTTTGCGAATTGCGAACGAGCTGAGCAATGCGAAAAAAAAAACTGCGAGCGAGCCGAGCGAGCAGGATGGTCGGTGCGAGCGATCGCCTTCGAGCCTACGAACTGACATTGTGCGAACGGAGAGTTTCTGGTACAAAGTGACATTGACGACCTGAAAACGATCTTAAACCACCGTCACCTTCGCGCTTTCGCGCATTTATTTATTTATTAACTTTCCTAGACCGGTTGGGACTCGGGACTAAATTTTGATATTTTGTACTCGTAGCCAACAAAAACATTGACAGGTTTATGATCAGTTGAATGATTTCAGAAAGGTGCATTTTAATTTTTGAGCATTCTATTATACGTATTTAATTCAGGCCAAATTAAGAAAACTACATCCAGTTGAAAATTAGAGAAATGTATTAGCAAAAAAATGAAAAGCTAATGAAACGGACTACCAGTATGGAGATATCTGTATAAGTGATTGTCTGAACATCCAATTACACTTATGTACTGAGTTTTTGTGTTGGTGAAAAGTTTGGTATAATTAATTCGTGCAAAAAATTGATACGTAAATTTTTGCCGATCTTACGCGAGCCGATTTACCAAAATAAAATTACAGCCGAGTTGAGGCGGAAGTAAATAAAAATTGGAAAACGAGCGAGCTGAGCGAGCAGGAAGTTTAAAAAAGCAGAAACGAGCGAGTTGAGCAGCACTTTTGCTGCTCGCGCAGGGCTCTAACGAAAACTCCACGATCAGAGCCCTTAAAGGCCACGTGCAACGCTATCGCTTCTAAAACGAATTTCATAGAAGAAACGCACGCAAAATCCACTGACTTACCGCATCATGCGATGAACAATAGTCGGCCGGCTTCCTTAGCCCCGCCACCATCGTCTTAGCTCCAGTGGGCATGCAACACGCTTCGCTCCTTTCAGGGTCGATCCCCGCATGAACTATTCCGCTCCGATTTCTCATCGATTTGTTTCACGCTTTCGCCTTTCCTCCTTCGCCCATACCATCAGAGGCTGAGGTCACCGTCTTGAGGCTGCTTGCGAGGGATCGTATATCGAGCCTGACTAGCCACAGTCTGAAATGCAATGATTACAGTATTTTTGGCATAAGATAAAATAAAAGAATTTGCAATTTAATTTCCAATATATTCTGTTGTCGTAAACGCATGATCGGTACATCGTCTACCTGAAAAATCTGTCTTTTATTCTCCCATTAGTTCACCGGCATTGTGCCCGCATTGGGCAACGAACAGTGATGCAGCAACGAACAGTAGGAATCGAAATTTATACCAGAAATCGTAGTCTAACGGCTGTTAAATGCTTATATCCTAACGCGATACGGCGAAAGCTGCGCTTGTATTTGCAACACAAAATGTGTCTTTTTGTTGTTCGAGCTACGATTAAATAGTCGTGTTGAAACTTTTTATGAGCAAGATGCTTTGAATTTAATTTGATCGCTCGCACTCCTCACCGAACTCCCCGCTGCTACACATCCGCACTGGAACTTTACTTCCGCGTTTGCGCAGCGTTTTCCCAGACCGCTTTCTTGGACATTTCTCTACTTTCATCTCTGTAACTGTCAAAAAAACTTACTTTAAAAATATGGCAAAAAATGTGCAGAACTTGTAAAAATTGTTTCCTAACCACCTGGCGTCAGCTTGCATTGAAATTAGTGTAAGTAATGCACACGTACATACGCCAGTAACCCGTGAACAGGGCATATCGACACCATACACTTTTCGCATCTTTATTAATAATCGCATAAGTTCTGGTAATAAAGAAAGAAATACGCTATCTTATTCACAAACACTACGATCGCACCTTTTTTGCATATTACTGTTTTCTGCCGCTGTTACCAAAGGAAAGACTTAACATTAACGAAACCGTCGTAACAAATTATCCCCGTCGTAACAAATTATCCCACAGCTAGTTTGTTTCGTTGTTTGTTACTGACTAGAAATACGCCTCTTATGAACAAAGTCATCCATGTCGTCTGTCGCGTATGCAGGAATTAGCGAGTACCGACAACACTTCTTACCGGCAGCGTCCAGATTGTGTTCGCCGGTGCAAGAGGGCATACTGTTGCAGTGGTGGCACACTGGCACTTGAAACCGATCTGGCAGATTAGAATTCACTCCTTCGACTCCCGCTTAGGCACACGCGCTCTTGACGCTCGCTGTTTGCCGGTGGTTGTCGATGGCGGCAAAATTCGACTGGTCGTCGCTTGGTTGGACAATTCCAGCACCAACTCTCTAACTAACAACAAGCGATTAAGGAAAACTCTGAAAAAGTCAAACTAAATTCAAACAAAAACTGGAGAAAGCGGCGATAAAAAGTCAAAACCGGTAATGATAACTTCACCATAAAGAGCAGTCCATAACTAGAGCCATTTGCTGCCAGGCATAAACATTTCTGTAAAAAGAGTTTCCTGAAACAACACCAACTTACCAGCTGCACCGCTCCAACAGATCCGCTGGGAATATTTCTGCTCTTTTCTTTGCTACCCTAGAGATTCAAGCGGACGTTCAGTCTTACTACCGCTGATCTCCCAGTGGGCGCCGGTCGGCTGGGCAGCTGGTTGCAGGCGGATTGTCTTGCCCACGTTGAACTGGATTTATTCCATGCTGGTGCGGCGTTCGTGCGAGGATACAGAGGTGCGATAGGTTGGGGTTGTTGGAAAGTCGAGGCCGTTTGAAGATTTCCTGATCGGGGATGTGCTTTAGCAAAAGCAACGACATTTCCATTGATTTCAAACACCAGCAAAGAATAACCTTGGGCATTACGAAATTTCCGCGCTTTAGCTTACAGATAAAAGTATGATGGTAACAAAAATACTACAATCGAACAAAAGCACAGAGCAAATGAGTACCGAAAACTCCGTCTACAGCTTTGTGCGCAACTTCCGCATCTGAAAAATCCTGGTAGCCACAATACTACAATTCACTCCACCACAACATACGTCAACGATCTCTATGACTGTCTTGAAATGTCTTCGTACGAAGAATCTACAGTATTCTTTGACGTTTGTATTGTAAACTAATAAGCACCCAGTATCTGTATTACTGTCACACTGTGACTTACGAGTATAATGTCCCAAGTACCGAATATATACACATGATACAATATTACTATATTTAGGCAATATACGTAACCACCGTGAAATTTTCGACTGTTAGCATGGTGCTATATGCCGGAAAGGTTAGGCATTAGTTATTGATAACCGCTAATAAAAACGGAGGGCAAAATAACGTAATACAAGCGTAGAGAGATTCACATCCACATAAAAGAAAAAAACAAATAACACCGGTACACAGAACGCCAAGAAGGAACAGAAAAACAATGACGTAGTAGGCAAATTTTTCCATTACAGCGCATAAAGAACCGCAGACATGCCTGTTTCACTAGTCTCTGGGATGCTTAAATAACACTGGGGAAAATTAAGTACAAGATTTCCATGAATAATTTTCAAAAAACTGAACGCTGGATTTCATAACTGGTCAAAGCCACACGGCACGCGACGGCATCATGCAGCATTCGCACTTCTCAAGGGACGACTGGCCACCCAAAGACAGGGATCACAACACAACTAACACATGCAGCCACACTAGCACCAATCAGAGCTATCAGACGACATTCACAAAAATTCTCTCACAGCGTGACCCATGACTTACTCGTTGTTTGCTGGAGGACGGCGATGGCGGAGCTAGACTGCTGGGCTTCTTCCAAGCCAAGGTCACGGGCGCAGCGGGGCATATGGATCCCCAGGGAGAGCGAGGAGTTCACAAGGCAATTAGCACCGAATTCTGCATTCAGGAAAGGAAAACTAAAACATGGAGTTAATTGCTGTAACATCCAGCGCACCGTATTGGGATATCTGGTCAGGTGTTTTACCTTGTATTTGTTAATTTATTTATTCTATCTCGTAAATAATTTTTTATCCAATGATTTCACTGCCTAACCACAATTCATTTAATAATATCTATCTATTCAGGATAATTTCGTTAAAGAAGTAAAATTTGCAGCATTGCTGCTCTGACACAGTAACCTACAACGAAACCTGATTCGAACAATCCACAGCAATTTCGGTCGGACTGGCCGCCATAAATAGGAATCACGGGTCGTAAGTTTAGTGCCATGATGTCGTGGTTTCTCGATGACTGCAAAGTCGCTAGCAATTACAGAGTACTGCAGTCACTCGCACTGTAGTGAAAGGCAACGAGGTTCTCCCGGAAACACCGTGTACAAGGCCTCTGATAACACTCTCCACAGGCTGTTACTAACGTAAGCGGTGCTATTTTCTGACAACTCCACAAGATTGAATAGGGTGCATGGTTGACATTTCGGGCTTGTTTCGTTTAGGAGTTTGTGACGCGACCAGTCATCAGAATGCTAAAAAATCTCACCCGAATTCGGATGCATTTCACTCGCAAAACACTCAGATACCTTGCAAAGGTCTACGAAAAATGGCTCAATTAGCCAACCGTTTCAGTTACAAAAAGGAAAGTGTGTGAATTCTGACCAGAGACACAAGGTATCTTAATCTTTGCGATGTGTGTGTAACATAACTGCCAGTGAGCGACAGTGTACCAACAGCACCGCGAAGAAATTTCCTGAATATTGCGTTGCAGCATTTATAGTGTAGTTCCAGCAGTTGGGGTGATTGTGTGCAGTTAGATTCGTGTGCGGTTGTTTGTTGCTGTCGTCGTGTGCAGTCAAATAGTACCAGTACCATTGTCACTTTAATAAAATCACTAAGCAACGGAACTTTGTACTTCAAAACCTGCGCGTAATATTTCCATAATTCCTTGAGATATCTACGTACTCAACCATAGCGTGGCAAATAACGACACAGTAATAATATGAGACCTTTATTGTTTTGCAGTAAGTATGTTTACCGGGTAAACTTTACCCAAAATAAGTGCCTTAGATGCCTGTTTCCGGTTGCCGATTCTGTTTGTCCGCATCTTTCATTGCAGAAAGAGACATATTAATTTTACAAGCTACAACATTTGACGAAGAAGAAAGTCGTTTGTTCTCCTCGCCTCCCATTCCGAAACTTTTAGCACTCCAAATCATGGCATACTTCGAGTACGATACCTGATTTGCCCTTTGATTTTCACTGCAACCTGCAAGCCTTTTGGTTATACGGCCCGCATTGGTTGCCTGATGTGGACATCGCGAATTATCGTGCTGTAGACATTCCTTTGTGTATCACATTTGCATCATCATTCATTAAAGCCCGGACTACAGCGGTGGCGGATGGTGACCTTGATTTGCTGATGCACTGTTAAATGGGCGCTGTGAAATTTGACGGCGGAGGTAATCCTTTGCTGTATGAAGCGCTCCGTTCTGATGGCGGTTGCCTCGATCGGTGCGTCAAACGCAACGATTTGGTCGACGTTAACAAGGAATGCCAGCCGGTAAGACGAACCAAATTGTAGACATCTTCTGTTACCTTTAAGTATGGGTTCTCTCGCCGTAGTGTCTGGTTTTGGTTGAAACTCGTATCAAGGGACTCAAGGGCAGTGTGCAGACAATACGTTAGTACGGTTTAGCAAATAAAAATTTGGTTTAGAATTCCATGTGGGACTTTTCACTGGTTTGTTCAAAATTGTCATCAGTTTATGAAAGCATTAGATTGATAAACCGCTTACGGCTGAGCGCTGATATTGTACATAAGTTTTTATAACAGAGGCAGCCATAAGTCGGCTGTCCGTGATGATCTCAGCGAGGGAGGGCGGTCAGATGAAGATCCTGTCTGTTGAGGAAATTCCGAAAAATGGCGATGGAGCGGAATCGAACCGCTGGCTACCGAGTGAGATCCACGTAGCACAGCCACTGTGCCATCGCCGCTGTTGGCGAAGATCAAGATATTTGTGCTTGAGCTTGAGCCAACCAGGTAGGCGGCGGATGGGCGGCTGCTGTGTGTAAAGAGGATTCTCCTCTTACATTTTCATCTGTATTTATTTATTGCGTTTTGATTTGACCAATAAAGTATTTTGCAGTGCGCAGCCTTCGGAGTGTAATACTGAAAAATGGAAAAACTTCGGAATACTGAAAAATGGAAAAACTATGGATTAATCGGAATATAATGTTAACATTCGATTAATTCAAATATTCTTATCGATAATTCACTCGATAGAGCAGGTCCCCCATAAAAGTTAAGAACCGCTTAAGCAGGATTTCTAAGCTGCTTTGATACTGTACTTTAGCCGTTAAATAATCAAGTCCATCTGCTTCATAATCATTTCTTAAGGAAACGCGGTGCGACTGATTTCGTATTTCTTCTTACAGTTGTATAATGCGGTACAACTGAGTACAAGTACTACGAACTAATAACTAATCTGAGGTTTCTGTTTCTTTGGTTTCTTCTGCTGAGAATGTGCCGCCTTTAGTAATGAGTAGTAAAAATTTTATCTGTGATTTGTGTGGAAAAATTTGTTTGACGGCGCATGGGATAGCGTCACATCGCGACAGTGGAAAATGCAGAGAAGCTCAAGCCCGCAACTTACGAAACAAACCCGGGCTCCCCACTGCATCCCCTCAACCAGTTCCACACGACGAAAACTTGCTGGACAAGCTCTCTCGATTGCGACGAACCAATCCTATCCTCCCGCATGTTCCAGTAGGTGCGAGAGATGCATGTGCAAATGCGTTTGCGGAACTACTGACCGCATGCTGCGCGAAAAATGACATGGAAGCGTGGAGCAACTTACTCTTCTTTGCACCAAGCATCCTGACAGCTCCTCCTACGAAGTCTGGTAGAGGCCCATCACTCGCTACGTCGGTGAAGAAGAACTTGTCAAGTAAGCAGACAGAAGATATCATCCCCTCGAAAAAGAAGCAGCCAAAGCCAAAGATCGCAGCAGCATTAAAGGCAAAACTGGTCAACGCCAAACTGGAAAGTGGATCAATCGGACGCGCGATGAACATTCTCGTTTCACAAGAGACCATCGCGCCTTTAACTGACGAAGTCATTGCGATTTTAAAAGAAAAACATCCAGGTCGACCCGTTGACCTGGATGCTACGGTGCGTAACGTCGACGCGATACCCTCTGAAGTAACACATAGAGAACTGATAGCTGCTGTAGAGTCGTTTGATACGAACCTGCCCTGGCCCGGATGGATTACGCGCTGATCATCTTAAGGATCTGCTATCCACGCAAGGAGAAACGCAGGAAACTGTTAGACGCCCTAGTGAGATTTGCGGATCACATACTGAACAAGGAGATTCCCGCAGAAGCAAGGAAAGTGTTCTTCGGAGCAAACCTGTTCCCGTTCCTTAAACCTAACGGTGGCATCCGTCCCATTGCATCAGGATGCACGTTACGCCGCCTTGTAGCGAAGATAGTTTGTTTTCCGGCTGGCAGAAGAAATGGGTAATTATTTTCGCCCGGTCCAGTTCGGTTTGGAACGAAACAGGAGCAGAAATCATCGTGCACAGTGCCAGGGAGTTTTTACAGACGCCGTCGACAAAGCCGCGCGCATTTTTAAAGTTTGATTTTGCAAACGCTTTCAACACCGTTCGGCGGGATAAACTTATGGAAAAAAGTATTCGACCGGATACCCGTATTATAATTTTGTTCGTTCTGCGTGGAGAAGACTCAGTTCTATTCTGCATTTCTCCTGCCAGTGGTGTCACCATACCTTCCGCTAGCGGTGTCCAGCAGGGCGATCCTTGTGCACCAATGTTCTGGTTTACTAACACAAGATGTTTGTTCCCAGATTAAAGCCAGAAACTAACCTGTGGTTTTTTGGATGACGGTGTGTCTGCTGGAGACCCTCAAGTTGTTAAAGACGATATGGTAAATCTCCAAGAAGCAGCCGCCGCAGTGGGCTTAAGACTAAACACGGCAAAGTGTGAATTATTCGTGGACGGCGGAACACCTGCAGAGCGTGAAAACGTAGCCCAGTTATTCCTAAACGCGGTACCGGACATTCGCATTTCTAAACCGGAGGAACTGGAACTGTTAGGCTCACCCTTGCTGAGCGAAGCGATTGCGGGGCGCGTTGATGAGGAAGGTCGGTCAAGCACAAGTGCTTGCCATTCCAGCTCGGTATATTGCCTTCACATCAGGCGTTTTTCTTGTTAAAGAATTGCTTGTCGCTGAAATTGTTATATATTCTTAGAACTTCTCCCTGCTGGCAGTATCCTGAAGAATTACGGAAATTCGACGATGTCATCCGATTTAAAGCGGAACAGCTGACCAATGTTGCAATGTCGGACACAGTATGGAACCAAGCATCGTTACCCACGAAATTTGGAGGCTTAGGGTTGATCAGCGCAACAGAAGTGGCGCTAGCTGCTTACACCTCATCAGTCCATGGTGCTGTCGACATGGTGTGTAATGTTACCCGCAATGAATCCATCAAGGATCGGTGTAACCGCCTGATAGAAGTGTGGACATCTCGCTTTTCCACCGAACCCCCTCGCACAGAAAGTCGCCGGTTTCAGTCCGCGTGGACTACGCCACAGCACACCCAGACAGCATCCCGCATGATGGAGAACGCCGACGTAATTACCTCTGCCCGCCTGTTGGCTGCATCCTCATCGGAGTCGCGCCTGGTTGTCAGCATTGCCAGTATCCCTCTTCGGAAACCTGTTGGAAGATGCCCGCCGCATAGCCGTTGCGCGACGGTTGGGAGCCCCGGTCTGCGAACAGCGTATGCCGTTGCGGTAACGTAGTGGACAGCCTGGGATCACCATGGCTTGGTTTGCAAGTTAGCGAAAGGAAGGCATGGCGTTCACGCCGTATTGAATGACGTGACCAGCGAGCCTTGAACTCTGCACGAATGCCATCGTCCCTCGAGCGCCGGGACTGGACAGAGGAGATGGCAAAGACCGAACCGGAGTTACCGTTTTCCTTGGAAAAATGGAAAACCGTTAGTATGGGATGTGACAGTGGCAGACACGTTCGCTCAAACGTGTTATCGCCCCGGACGTCACGGGTGCCGGGAAGTGTAGCAAGGCACGCGAAAACCATAAGCTAGGAAAGTACGATGGACTTGCAGACCGATATGTAGTACAGCCGATCGCGTTCGAAACCACGGGCACATTGGACCACTCACAAAGAAATTCTTCAGGAGCTGTCGCGAAAGATCAGCGATTGTACTGTAATCTCGGTCAGGAGAGTTTGCGAAAATCAGTAAAATACAACGGGGAAACGCTGTCTCTGTTCTTGGAACGTTTAACGACATGGTTGACAACGAGAATGTGTTTTTTGCTTTTAAGCTACAAAAAGGTAATGTATTGTACAGAATCATGCCGTTACCGCAAAAATCATTTCTTAAAGTGTAAAAAAAGTTAATTTATGTGTCCCGAAACAATAGTAACCCAAAAACAAGATTGTGCAGCGCCAACCCAAAACTTGTCTATACAGTCTTCTAACTTTGATGGCTGACATCTCCTTGGGATAACAATTTGTTACGGTTGATTTGTCTATAACGTACTGGACTGCTTAAGGACTGCTTCCAGCTAAACGGCATTCAACAAGAAAAGCGCGAACGTGATGTGCTATGTCTCCATATTTTTATTCATACAATCTTACCGTTCGAAACGTATTTTTCCTGGGTTTTTATGGATAAATCAGCGCGTGGTCAGTTTAAGTCAAGCGTAGTCTTGAAAAATTCCTAATTTCCCATAGGTGTGCCTTCTGAATTTTGATTTTGTTTTAAAAGCGTTGGTCAGAAGAAATTTTTATTAGTTCTTAAGTATAGAAAATAGATTACTTAATATAACGACGTTCTTTAGATACTGGTACAGTGGTAGTGTGGTACTGTAGTGCATTCTTACGAGTAAAACAAATTGTTGCCACGGAGGCAGCAATTAGTGCAATAATGTAGAGAAAAATCGGAATTGCACGGACCATTTAATGAAAAAAGTGAAAAAATAGCCTGTGGTCACAAGTTCAAGAAAAATCGTGGGGAGGTCAAATATTAGTTTCCGTCCTAGAGGGTTTTGCCGAGCGCGGAGCGCGAGGAATACCTTGCTAATGCAAATTACGAGTAAGCTATAGTTTTCGTTACCTCATAGCTATCTTCTATCGCGATTTTGCACGTATATTCATATGCCTTTTTTTTGTGAGTCCGTGTGTGGCCTTGGTTTTATGAGTACGTTGATCCTCTGACTGATTTTCGGATTGCGACGTCAGGCAAGTTTGCACTGCGACTGCATCCATATATTCTTCAAATGCAGTGAAAACGGAAAAGACTTCCTTTGTGTTTCCAGCTCTTCTGTGCACTGCTTGAAATCAGGAATTATATCATGCGCTACCGAAAATAGCCACCGGTCTTCGTATCCCTTACCTAAGTACTTAACATATAAACGTATTGTACAAGTTCTACTGAACCTCGGAAAGTGTTTGAAGAGTAAATGTATTATTTTTTCTTTATTTTGGAAATTTCTTGAAGAATCTGTTCGCAGTAAATTCCAACTACGGTGGATTTACCGGATCCAGGGGCTTCTATCACTGATAAGTACACTGTATTGCCGGGCAAATCAATCGGTCTTCTTTCGGCATCATCCCAAGATAACATCGTGACTATACATATAATTCTTTACAGGCATAAAGCACTAGGGATTGACTAGAAGTATTGGCTTTTGTAACTGTAGTGTTGAAGATGATCTTTTTCATTTTGAGTTTTTTTAATTAACTTGATAAATTTGTGAATAAACTTGCAATCGATTTATTTTTTTTTTAATGGTGAATCATTATTTGTTTGAGGATGTTTCTATCAGTTAGGATCTAATTCATTAATAAGGAATAATTAATGATGCTCCATCAATTTAGATTCAGTTTCTGTTGTACAGCACCGCTGTCCACTGTTTTCAAGTTTTCTTAATTGTTGGCAATCAACTTAAGTGATGTAAAACACAGCTGTATATGACATTTTTATACGCGAACAGATTATTAAGTATACGCTATAATACGCGCTTGTGTTTCGTATGAAGAGTAAAATTAATCTTCGGCTAATTCGTCTAACCATACGGTGGGTGGAGACAGCGGGCATAGTTTCTCAGGCGTGTCGGACTGTCGGTTTCCTTGGTGTCAGATTCTGCTTATAAAGCCTTCCATGCTTTTGGTATGGAGCGCTCATTCAAGTCCGCCGTTTCTCATGGTCAGTGAACCAGTGTCCATATCATAGGAACTAGCGCTTAGTGCAGGACGCCCTCGTGCTGCTTATGCTCATGGACACAGGCACGTGCCAATTCAATAAAACACCCTTCAGTGACCCTGTTGTTTGTCACCACGGCGCGCAGAAAGCGTACGATACCTCGTGGAGGCTTATAAAGAGTCGCGTCCACTGCTCGGTTCGGACCGCACTGTCAACGCGTTCCCGTGTATTAGCGGTAAGCGCTTCTCGTGGCGTTTAGCTCGCGGCCGGTCGTATTCCTTTTGGCCGCTGACACCGGCCACGCAGGTCCTCCAATTATAATTATGCTAGCGCATCTTGAATGGCTTCTTACCCTCCTTCGATAGGATTTCCGCTTCTACAATGCTTCTGTCATGTCGATTATGCCATGGTGCTCCCTTCCAAGCCAGCCTGTGGTTGAGGACCTTTGGTATATTATGGGCATTGTGTATTATTTCAGTGTACCCTGGCATGTGGCGCAACCGTCGAGTACATCATCTTCAAAATTCACCCATTCCCCACGTGCTTGTTCCTGCGGGCAGTCGTTGAAAACAGTCATAAGATCCGCATGTAAAACCCCATTATTCGTGCTTGACAGATATTTCTGATAAGATTCCATGAACATTGTTGACCCTTCGTGCGCTTAGAATAACCAGTGCTCTTTGTCAGTGTCAGTGTTCTTATGCCATAAAAACTTATGCCTTTTACCATCTTGCGGAAGTACAGTTGGCATAAAACGCCACAGGATCGAATGGTACAGTGTCTTTTAGTAAAATCTGTTCTTCACCCATGCCCTTACTATTTTTTTTCTAAATATGGAAAATGTACACGCAGGTATCATGGTCTTATTGACAGACTGTTCTTAGCAGCTATCCGACACCGATATATTGTTGAAAGACTCCAGAAAACCTCTGAGTGGTTTCTGGTCCGGAAAATGCCGCTTGCACGAAATAAACGAGTCACTGGGTAAGGATGGTATCTGGTGCAGACTGCAGAGGATCAGCATCGAAATTTAACGGGGACAGTAACGGGAAATTTAGTAAAACGTACTCAATTTAAGTGTATTTATCGAAGATGATTTCTCCACTTTACCAAATCAGCTTCTTAACGTTATAAATTCGTGAAAAAACTTATTAAGTATTATTTTTATTGCACAACAGTATGTATGTAGATAATTATAACAGCTCCTAGCTTTCGTTTTCCACATGATTCCGACAAACAAGGTCACCGCAGTAGCAAAGATGTGTTTTTTGTACTGCATACAATACAATGTCGAGAGTTGGTTTTCCGTGTTTAGTGCCCTTTCTGCGAGCACTTGAGTGATCGCAAAAGGACTGCACTGAAAACGGAACGCCGCTCACATTTCAGTTAGTTTTCGAGCGGACATACAGTACAATAAAGCTATGTGATCTGCAAAATTATTGAAAATGGGTGGCAATATAGTGAATATACTTAATAAATTTTTTACCGCACAGTGGATTCTGAAATGGCTCCGAGTACATATTCACGATTCGTACTTCAAAAAATGCTTTACAGCCTTTAGTTTACCAGAAGCTTTGGCTACCTGCACGGAAATTATTTCAGCAAGAGAGTAGATACTGAGGTTCTTCCACTGCTTACGTAAGTACATATTTACGTAGGTTAAGTAAAATATCAATCATTTAAAACCGAGATCCATTATTGTTAATTGTAAGAATACTAGCAGATACTGTAATCTTCTATCTGATACTAGTTCCTGAAAACAGTTTCATACTAGTAGAACCAATCGCCAGGGCGAGCACGTAAATCAGAATACTTTACTGATGAAACGTTTAACGTAAGGAGTACACTATGTTCCAGTCAAAGCAATTATTTAGGAGGCATAGTTTCGATGATTTCGTAGCAGAAAGCCAGAAATGCGCGCATTGCGCGATGACCTGTTTTATTCGCCACCACACAACCTCCATATTTCCGATATTTTCCAATATCTGTTACCACTTTTCTTTTGCATTCCCCTAAATACAATTAACGAAATGCCAATGGAAATACACTAAATTCTCATTAGACACCAATTATAAATTTGCAAATCCATAGAAAGTAAATATGGAAAAAATGACAGCGCAAATCAAAAAAATCCCATTAAAAAATATAAAATTAGTAAAATCAAATACAGATACAGTAAAAATCAAAAACAGAAGCAAAGACGGATTGCCAACAGAAGAACACCGTGAATTGTAAAAACACCGAACTGAAAGCGGTAAACAAAGGTCTGGGACTGGAATTATGGCAGTTTAAGGTGCAGCGGTTATCCGCGGAGCACACACAACACCACAGAGGGCGTAGATTTAGGGGACCCGCGGGGAGGAGGGCAGAGATGACGACGCTGGTGGTGGTGCCGACAGGATGCCGACATGGTGATTTGCGCACCAGCAAGATACCCAACGGACGCTTACCTAACACAGAAAAATACACACTTCCATATTACCGCATTAACGCTCAAGCATCAGCAGTCCTCCAATGTCAGCACATACACAACTGTAAAGAAAATTATTTCGTATCGGTTACCAGTGCGAAGAGAGGCTTGACGATCAGATCCTGGAGGCGCTGCATGGTGCCGACGTGGAAGAGGCGCAGAGTTGTTGTTCAGCCGCAGCGAGATCCCCACGTCACGCCCCACCACCACCGTCTGCCGGATGGCGCTGTCGAATGCGCTTTGAAGCTGCTCTGCAATACCCAAGATTGTATTCTAATCAGAATAAAACAATCCGAAAAATCAGCTACCTAATTAACAATCGTATTAACAGCAACAATCACAGCCGGTAACGACGGCGTCGCCTTGAATAAAATTATGAATCATCATGTCTTTAATTACCCCCAACGCGGTCTTCATTGCGGCTATACACAGTAATCTAATTCGACTAATAAAATGCTAGCAACTTCACTTTGCTATTTTTATTCTGTTTTTCCCAATTAGAGCGCTAAAATTACCGAATCGATTCTACTATGCAAAACACATGCCATGTTTAAAATCCCAAAGTTCTATTTTTAGAATTAAAGCCAGTCTAATATGTATTATCTTTTAGTGTAACTGCAACAACGCTGTCTAGATTCTAGAACTCCGAGTCAAGTGTTAACAGAAAAATATAAACATTCTATCTCCACTATTTTCAGTGCATTTATTTTCACAAAATACTGGATGGAAATACAAATGTAGACAGCCATCACTCTACGAAAAGCGACTTCTTTTACTGCCAACGTGTGCAGCCTGCCCCGTCTGTCAACAATCAATACTGTCTGTGTGCCCGCAGTTCAGTCGTAGAGTAATGGCTTTAGCGGAAAAGCATCCACATTTTGAAGCTGTACATCACTCCACTCAATATGATTACGAATTCAACTCTTCTGTCAACCTCAGTTCCTCGACATTCGTTCTGCTACCTACAACTTAAGTTTTAATATCGTTTTACTATACAGGAATTTTGTTTTGTAATCTGTCGACAACCTTTTATACATCGTTTCTTTAATTTTATATAAAAGAGATAGTTCCATTCTTCACGATAATCTTATGTTAGTACGGTACCTGCATATTGAGATTTTTCTCCACCAGCGGCCGGGAAAAAAGGGGCTGCGGGACGACGACACTGCCCGGGGCATTATCACTGCCAGATGCGGCGGCTACCGGCTCCATCCAAACACCACCCGCGCCCACTCGGTGTCTCCTTTTCGGCTGACCACATCGGCACAGAGCCGCGAGATTCTCGGCCGCCGGTGGACTCTTCCACGGCGTTCCGGCCTTCCCCGCCGCCGTGGCGCTCCTAAGTACCGTAAACGTCGTCACCAAGGCAGAATAACACTAATACGTAGTATTACGTACCGCGTTGCGAAAGTAAAACATACTGTATTACGAATCGTTCATAATGCCCTTGAAGGTCCACCACATGCGCGGTGCCGAAGGGTGCCGCTTCCGAAGCTGGAGGAGATCGCGACACGGTCCCTACTGCAAGGGAGACAGGGTGCCGCCGTCCCGGGGAGATGGGAGGAGCCGGTCGGCGGCAGCGACTCGCCACTGTAACAGACAGTGCTGGTCTGATCGCCTCAAACAATAAGTCCACTAAAGCTGAAAGCCAAACCTGGATAATCACTAAGAATAATTATTAAGAGTAATTATTGTTAATGTTGAATAATTAAGAATTAATTAACAACACACGTCGTAATATGCTTATTATACACATCGTATGCTTTCAACAAAAGTGTAGCGATATGCGGCAACAGCTAGTTCAAACATCCGCAGGCCAGCAACAGCAGAAATGATTAACAATTGTTTAAAATCTTAATTATATAACTTTGTAATTATTAACTGTGTCAACTCATTTTAATTACTTTACAACTAAAAAGCAGAATTCTATCGCGCCGACATATGACGGTTTTTGTATAAGTTTTTCTTTCTTCAGTGGTGCGGCGAGTACACCACTCAGTGATAAAATAAAAATCTACTGAAGTTTCTAGACTGACAACAAGATGTTGGTTTACTACAAAGCGCCTAACCGTGTATGGATCGATATCAGTGAAGCTATGGAGCCATCGCACTACGACACTGCATTAATCAGCTATAACACCGGATGTATTTTGGAGAGCCAACTTCTGTGCCAATATACCGACTGTCAATCGGCATGATTATTTTCCGTTTTCACGGTTTTTCACTACGCTGCCGCTTACATTTTGAAGAAGCCGGACCGGCCGCAGTGGTGCTGCATGAGGATGACGCGTTGGCTATGGGAGATGGTGGCGCGCATCTCGTCCTGCGCGTCTCGCCTGGAGCTCCAACAGCTGCTCATTCTTCTCCCGTAACGAAAAAGTGCACAATCAGACCTAATAAAGAAAAGAAAAGTTGAAAATACAAAAGAAATTCGAAACTAACTATGCAGCCTTTAAAACCAAACATTCTTTTGTATCATATAATAGTGACCAGTAGCACATTCACAACAGTTGGCATGGCCTGGCATATATTTTTAGTACTCGTATGATTCAGCACGCAGACTGCACACAAAAAAATTGTCAATAAGTGTACAAATAAAGCACAAATTAATGCGAATCGATACTAACGGATACGTAACGGCAATTTCTGCCAGTCCGCAATTTGAAAAAGGATGCGTAATTTTTTCCCAGGTTTTTGTACGTGTATTTTAATCTGGAAAAAGACCATTTTCTGATTCTCGCCTAAATTCAGAGATTATTTATTGTTCAAACTTTTATACCGGCGGACAAAACCGCGCCACTGATGTTAAAAGAGCCAGCCAAGGGCGCTCACTCCTCTGCGCTTAATAGGTATAGGAATCGTCTCTTATTCGTAGAACACAGTCCTGTACAATTATAAATAAATGCAATGCGTAGCGGACATACAGTGACATTTCTAACTATATTACCCTCTATTTGCACCTGGAACATAACCGATGGAGAGCAGATGCGATGAGTAGACCGGGAACGGGAAGCTCTCCACCACATTACTGGGCTGGTTGGCTTTGATGGCGGTCACTTTTCTGCAGGAGTGCGTCAAACTGCAGATCCAGATAAACGCAGAAACGGCTGCGTACGCATTTTCGCGCAGCAGGCACGACTACAACAGTCAGCATGCGTGGCGACCAGTTAATGCCCTCAGCACGCCCGGTATACATTTAAGCAACGTAGAGCGGCAGAGACATCGGCGTCCTCTTCCGAGTTCCGGAGCTGTAATCCCACACACTAATGTATCATTTCGCGTTAACTGTAATTCGCGATAACTTTTTTCCACTTATAAAGCTTCTCATACTGCCGCTTACAATTTGAAGGAGCTGGACCGGTCGCGGCGCTGCTGAATGACGACGCGCTGATTCTGTGGGAGTTTGGCGCGCATCTCGTCCTGCAGCTCCATAAGCTGTTCCTTTACTTGCTCTTCTCCTGCACCAACCGCGCCATCTCCACGCGCGTGAAGCGCTTCTGCACTAATGCATTCTCGCTGTACTGGCTGGCTTCATGCAGCTTCAGTTCATAGTGCTAACGCATCCGCTTCACACTGCCTTCCAGGACGATGTGCTCCTGCAGCTTGTTCTTCACTTCCTGCAGCAGGCTGCAGCGACGCGTTCTCTTCGCTGTACCGTACATCTCCTTCTCACTGAAAAATTGTCATCACTGTAATTTATGGATAAAACAGCAAAAGGGGAACTGGAACGAAATGCACCGAGTTTCCCAACATTCACAATACGTTTTAAGAGAAATAAGGTTGTTTAGTTTTTCAAGTTCCCGTACAGTGTATCATATTAGACAGTACAGTATATTTTACAGACGATCAGGATAGCACTGAGGAAGTGTTTCTGTTATGAGATTAATGTTTTCTAGTACTAAATTTGTACTTGTGACATTTTACAGACGCATTAACGTAGTAAAACGGACTTCTATTATTTCTATATATACGATTACTCGTTACTCATTTCTGCCTAATTTGCTGATTCTCCTTAATAAGCGTTTTAGACGCAGAATGGAGTCTTAAAAAGATTAAAATTTCTCGAAACCAAAATGTAAAATGAAAAATATTGTAGAGAACAACCTACCAACAAAACAAAATAGCAGGAGAACTAATCAGGCATTGCATGATCACTATTGTGTTAGCTAGAAGACTACTCGATACTGCACATAATCCAAGAAGCAGGAACCACAACCAGAGCGACAACAGCTATGTCATAAACAAGATACCTGGACAATTCGTCCAACGATATCATCCTGGACAACCGCCAAGGCATTCTCACAGCAGCCGGATAATACAAACAGGCCCCGAAGAGCAAACAATTTACAACGCCCTTTGAAGGAAATAACCGAAAAATAATCAGTCAAGATGAATTATCTATGCTGTAAACGAAATTAGACATCTATTTTGTAAAATTAAAGCTCTTCAACGATCACACTAACGCGTATGTATCTTTACGTTCGCACATCCTCACGTATTCCGGTTAAGTACGTACATACGTATGTGGTTTAATGAAAGTTGGCTAATTCTGGACTGTTGCAGAAACTTCCAACGAAGAATGTCAGTGGATATTTAAAAAGCTCAAAAAATACAATAAATACTGACTCTAATTTTGTCTGTAATGTGGTGGAGAACCACGTGTATACGACATCGGCGTTTACGTTCGTTTCTTCACGCCACATCACTTAAGCCGTTAAGCGTACTCGTAGCCCTTGTCTCTAAGCAACCGTACGCTTGTCGCTGCCGCTCCATAATCAGAAGCATCTCCAGATTCCTATCAGAGTAACACTGTAACATCAATAATAAGTTTGCACCTCGTGGCCGGATACAGCGATTCGGATTTCGAATCAGCTATTTTTTTGTTATCTTTTGGGATTTGGAAACTACGGCGTTTTAAAATTGTTACAGTTACAGTATTTTACAAGGAATCCACCTGACATCCGCTTTAGATTATAATAACTAGTACACTGATGGTTACCTTTAGATAGGATAACATCAGTTTTGCTGAGTGGGATCTACGATGGCCGGATAAGATCCCCTTTGAATCGTGTTTGTTTGTTGATACCTTTAATATACTGTACGCTGCTCTAACTGGATGTGGTTACTGCTGACAGATTACCAGGTACGCTAAACAGCTCGACAAAATTAGAATTAATTCTTGATTGTCTTGAACCCCAGTATGCAGTATAAAAACTGGGCAAATCCGTTGAACGGAAAAGCCTGGTGCACAAAGACGGCAATGGTCCTCGTGCGAACACAATCCGAATCAAACTACAGAATACTGTACATATAGCAATGTGAATTATGAATTTATTAAGTAATGTTTCCATTTGGACGACTACCTGGCTGGTACCACAGCCACCTCCAGCCCGCGTAGCCGCTTTTCCTCCGCCTAAACGATGGCCCTGCAGTATGGCGCGCAGTATCGGTACGTCCGTTCTTGTGGGCGCTGTTAAGCAATTGCGTTCCTTGTTCCTTTCGAAGCGCATCGTCAACACGCTCCCCAACATGACGCTCCCCCACATAAGCGGTCAACACGCTGCCCAATATGACCCCAGCATGAGTGGTGGTCAGTAACGTATACGTGCTACCGAGTCGCTTAAGCTACTCGGTGGTAGGTACTCAGCTGGTGCCGGACGTACTCCCTTTGATTGTGGCCTACGCCAACTATACATGCAGGGTCTTATTTTGGGTTGGCACTTGGCCCTATAGTTTTCTGGTGGACCTGGGCGGCTTTTCTGCCCACTCCCTGATATGAATCACGTCTCCACCTGTATCAAATCGAATCGGCGCTCGTTAGATTCGGTCGGTTTGTCCAGTCCCACGCCTGTACAAGGTCAAGGCCAGTTTAGATATTCCGGTCTGCGGCAAGCTGCAAATGGCGGCAGCGTGTTTTATGCATTGACGCACATAGTAATTATTTGGTGAAGGCTCCGCATGCCACCTTCTGAACACCACTTTTGGCTCTGCGTACCACCATGTATTCAATAATTAATATTCATAAGCGTCTATCTATTTTTATTAAATTTTAACATCAAGGATAATCGAATGATTCGCTTGCGCAGCTACATCCGTATCAACGCTCTGCGCTTCGTACAGAGTCTGTACATGGCCGGATATGAGATCAGATCCTGAATTCGCAATTCTCTCGGCCCGTCGTCCGGCGTTTCTTTTCAGTGGAGCAGTTCTTTTTTTCAAAGCATTCTAAAATCCATTTTCGGATACCTTGGCCGACATATGAAGTCCATGTGGGGCTTCTTCTGTGGAAAAGGTCATACGCAAATGCCGCAGCAAATGATCCGCAGCTTAAACCATTTTTTTTTATGTTTGCACGTTATCGTATCGGACCCGCAGTTGCTCTTCCGGCTCATCACAGCCGTACAGCTTCCAGAGTTCCAGTGCGGCACTGGAACTGGAACTCTGGAAGCTGTACGGCTTAGTTAAACACAGCACCATTTCTTATGCGTCTGCATCCCAGCTTGGCGTGAAGAAATGATTCACACCGTTAAAGTGAATTGTTGGTTGCGTTTCTGAAGCCTTCAGCTTTTAAAAAGATCGCAGTAACATCTTTCAACGTATTACTTCTATTGGAAGTTTTAAAAAATTTATGGCGGTATGCAGAGACAAAAGTGGTATGCAAAAGGTACGCATTTAATTGTACATTAATTTTCTTTCGCTACGAGTAGTGATAACTCAGGCAACGAAGATAACGGTTGCTACCGATGCCAGTAAGTCCGATATCTGCTTCTTGAGCTGAGCGAGTTCTTCAACCGTTGGTTTGTCTTTTGTGTGCCATTTGCATTTAGTACAACGCTCCGCCATTTAGTACATTCGTCATTAATTCGCTTGGTGTCTGGCCTAAACCGGGTGGTATTAGAAGGGTATTAGGTGGTATTAAGAGCCAGAGATGGTATGCAGAGGCAAAAGGTGGTATTAGGAGCCAAAGGTGGTATAAAGGTGGTTTGCGGAGCTTTCACCATATTGTTTTGTAGAATACAATATTTTGTACGGGTTGGGTTCTTGTTTTTAAATCGGTGTACGTCAGATATAACTGGGTAAAAACATATTGTGTTTCAAAAACGTTCCGTTCGCCACCTTTCGCAGATATCGCTTCAATAATTTGAAAAAGAAAAACGGGAGAGAACAGGACATGCAGTGCTTCGTGTATCTCTGGTTAAATAATTATGATTTGTTAACCCATCTGATCTGATCTGTTAGCCCATCTGATCTGTAAGCTGACTGGTGTCGAACAACAAAATCATACTCTTTGTTAACAAGAACGCCAAAATTCCTACTATTATAATTATTATACTAATATCCGCGGAATGTATTTCCTCATCTGGTTGATTTTGTTTAATCCGTCGAAATGCTGTTGGAGCCTCAACTTGGAGGCGTTTGCCCGTAGGGATTTTTGTTTTTTGGTTGGTTAAGTGTCCTGTAGTTCTCTTGGAAGGCAGCAGTGCGAAATCTGCTTTGGAAGCAGTTTCGAATGCAGTAAAAATAATTTCCGATGACGACAAGACCTCTTTATCGGCCAGGGTCAAAAAGAGGGAGGAATTTTGAGAGGGAGGAATTTCTGCCTGGTCAAAAAGAGGGAGGAATTTCTGAAGCGAGGGAGGGAGGAATTTTGATATGGTCAAAAAGAGGGAGGAATTTTGAGAGAGAGGAATTTCTGCCTGTTCAAAAAGAGAGAGGAATTTCTGAAGCGAGGGAGGGAGGAATTTTGATATGGTCAAAAAGAGGGAGGAATTTTTTCGAAGTTCAAATGAAGTACTTAGTGACCTCGAACCCAGGTCTCCGATGTCGCCACCAAGATTTTCTCATTATTTGCACAGTATGAAGGTCTGAGTCGAACTGAAGTGCTCGGGGACCTCGAACCAGGGTCCCCGAGGTCGCCACCGAGATTTTCTCATTAAGATGGTATCAGATGGCGCTGACTAGGCGCGCATCGACCATCGACGGCGAAACAAAAGCAAACCCGGATGAAGACTTTAATGCCGAAATCTGACGCACACCGCGCTTTGCGCAAGCTAAGAACTAACTGAGTCTTCTGTAGGCAGCGCAGCTGCCTTACAGAGCCATCGAAACGCATGAAAATGCCCAGACAGGAAGAAACCCAAAACCAACCAATGAGAGAAGGGCTGAATCATAAGCCCGCCCTGACAATGGCGAGCGAAGCGAGCCCGCGTTTCTAATTCAAGACATGTTGACGGTTCGCTGAAACGGAAGCACCAGTGACCTTTAGGTTGCCACGTGACCTTTGGGTCGCCACCGATTTTCATGGTGATTCCTATACAGTTTGACATGCTGAGTCGAACTGAATACTCGGGGACCTCGAACTGGGACCCCGAGGTCGCCATCACGACATGTACCATATGTGCACATTGTGATGTGCTGAGCCGAAATAAAGTACTCATGGACCATCGAACCCGGGTCCCTGAGGTCGCCACTACGATATGTAACATATACTCACTGTTTGCTATGCTGAGTCGAACTGAAGTGCTGGGGGTTCTCGGAACCGCGTCCCCCAAGTCGCCACCACGATACATATTTTATATCCATAGTTTGATGTGCTTTATCAAACCACTGCGGGAGGTCGTAGAAACCGGGAATATTTCTAAATATTCCTAAATGTTTCTAAATATTTTCACTAACATTTCTTATTATATTTCCACATATTCCTAAATACATTTCTAAATATTCTAGATATTTTTCGACATATTCCTGACTATATTTCAACATATTTTTCGATAGTAAAAAATATATCTGAAAATACGTCTTAACACATTTCTAAATATATTTTTGATAATTCTAAAATTAATTTTCTGATATTTCTGTACAAACAGCTTCTAAATATTTCTCAATACTTCTAAATATTTCGCAATATTTCTAAATATTTCTCAATATTTTTTTCAATGATTCTCAATAATTCTATGAACATTTTTTATCATGTTTCAACCTTTTCCTAAGTTTGTTTTAAAGTTTTAATATATTTTAAATATTCTAATTACGTTTTTAATTCTTTTTCACATTTTAAAATTCATTTTTAAATAGTTCGACTTCTCAATTGCTCTACCATTTTGAATTACGTGAAACGTAAACGTAAAAATTCTGATTACGGTGTTGAGAATATCTGAGAAATAAAATACCGTAAATATAAAACTGGTTTGAAAACAAGGTTTTTAAAAACGGGCATTTCCCTTCAAAATACTAAATTTTTAAATATCAAAATACATAGCATGCCGAATTTTATCTAACTAGAACCTGTACGTTATTATCCATGCTGAATATTTTTGAAACGAATTACGTTATGTAATGCTACTGTAGAGATGAATTCGAACACCACTTTTAGATCGAATTTCTTAATTGTTACCGCAAGCTTTGGATCATAAATTCAGATTATATTATGATATAATCTGTTGTATTTTATCACCGTTCGGATTCTAAATTTGCATTGGAAAAATGAAGTCTTGCTAAAACAAAATTGTATATTTGAAACATTGATTTTTTAAAGCAAATCAACAGCGCATTTCCTTTATCTGCGGATGACACTTTGCAACACAGCTACATATGACACAATGCTTCATAATGAGATGTGCCGGTTTGTTTTAAAACTCATTGAAATTTCATACAATATGTTGTATCTCCTACTCTAGTATAAGGTCAAGCGGGCGGCGGTTTTTAATTTAAAATGTATAAGGCAACGAATGCGTTAAGCATTAACAGGTATGCGCTGAAGCTGCTGAATCAGCCTAGCAGATTGGGCTTTCAGATGTACATCTAAATTCTCATTATGAACCACCTTTGTTAAAATCGTACATGTAATTGCGCATAATTATGTGAGCCGTTTTTACACCATGATTTAATTTCCGTTTCAAAATCATGAATTACTTTATTATTTCGGGTTTTTAAAATAAAAAATTATTAAGCAGCCAGAAAAAAATTAAAATTTTTATTTTATTTAGTGTGAGTGAGTTTTGTCTCATTTTTCATTCATCACTTTACACTGGCATTTAAGTTCTATTGCGAATCGCTTTTCATCATTTGATAACTTATCCTGTGCAGATGGTTTATACAAAATATTTAGGAAAAAAAATTCATTGGAACTGATATATCGGTGTT